GTCATTTTACAATATTTACAAAAAATAAATACATAAAAAATATTCGCTAAATCACATGCTCGCAAAGCATGCAAAAATTTTTAACTTTCTGTTGCCCAGAAGAACAATCGCCCAATTAACTGTCACCCACTTGACTAGCACACACTGTGAATTGCCCAGTTGTCGTGTATCCAAATGGGGTGGGCGGGAAGTAGCCAACATATCCAGGATGGACCATCATAACTTCTGGAATTTTTCATTCGGATTCATTCTTAGATTTCCCAAGTCAGTATACCGACATACTAACTGCTCAGCCATCAACTTCCATCGACACTTGTTATATTATCAACAACACTGGTGTCATTGAGAAAAAAATCACATTGCCAGACTGTCAGATCAGATTTATCATACCAGAAAGTAGAACATCTCATATATCCTCTACATATGGGTAAATCTTGCATGCAGTGAGTTTTTAGAAAAAAATTAATTTTTTTCATAATTTAATCAGATTTTTAAAGTTTCCACTGAAATTCTTGTACATCTGGCAACATGAGCTCAAAGAAAATATTAATACAGTATAGGAATGTGAGAAATTTCTAAAAAAAACTGATAAAGAAGCAAACTTGGGATTTTTAGCAGTGCTCATTTGTTTGTTTTGTTAAGTTACAGCAACACAACACTTGGATGATCTGCCTAGGGGGAATGCCTCCTGGGGAGGTCTTTTTAAGGGTAACTGGCCCCTATTCAGGCATTACAGACGTGGAGAAAACCTGGTAAACTCCACGTGGCCAGTCCGTCCTGGCGAGGTAAACCCACGGCCGAACTTCCAGTGTTCAGAGAACCAAACCTCTTGGCCACTGGTGGGCAGCAGTGTTTGTAAATCCATATTTTTAAAGACAATGCATTAGAGGTGTTAGGTTATTTCAAAAAGACAGAGAAATGGCTAGCTCAGGTTGACAACGGCTTCCAAACGTGGATTCTCAACCTGAAAGACTGACTGTTGGCAAATATGCAATAGGAATCATAAATACATATAAGCATTGGATAATTAAATTATTCAATGCAAGATGTAATTAAAAATCTAAATACATTTTATGCATAATTATAACTTTAAAAAATTACTAATTCTTATAAATAAGCACCATTACTCACATCATTAAATGCAAAGTAAGCATACATTACATTAAATTATTAATAAAAGTCATATATTAAGTAAATCATTTACCTGTATGGCAATGAGATAATAAATAAATAGTAGAATTTAAATTATTAATTTCGAAACGATCAATAGATATTCCGGGATAACCTTTAACGAAACCCTCGAAAGTACACATGTTTGAATAAATCTGTATATTTCGGAGGGAAACGAAAAGTCAGTAGATTAACTGCTGTCGGGGATTTTTCAGTGGAAAAATTCGGATGCTTAATGAAAAGTCTCGCAACTTACAAATATTATAAGTTTAACTTTTTATTAATGTCTAAAATTATTTTGTAAAAATTCTATTTTTTCCATAAAACAATTTACTAATCAAAATTTAAATATATTTTCGTGGATTAACAGATTATTCCCTTCTGGTAGGGAAATGTTTTCTTTTAATAAAGAGAAAGAAAGTAATATTAATTACTATAAATAATTTTAGAACATTTTAAAAACTGAATTTAATATAATAATATATATTTAATTATTAAATATATATTATTTTTAGAATATTTAGGGAAATTGACGTCATATTTTTTTATGTACTGTAATTGACAAATTTAGAAGCTATACACGTGTATGTGTAGGATAGTTGTTTACTTTTTACCACCGATTTGACAAGAAAATGTTTGTGAGAAATATTTTAAAGAATTGCTATGGAAGAAGTAATATTGACGAGGTGAAATGTCTGTTTAGGAACTGTCGTAATGATTTTATAAGTGGATTGCGATGTAAACATAAAGCTGCATTTGTCGAGGAATTTGGAAAACCTCTCGTCATTAAAGAAACTACTTTAAATAAAAATTTAAAGGACAAAGAGGTTAGTAAATGCCGTAATATATTTCGTATAAAACAAATCTTATAAGTTACAAATTAACAAATAAAATTACAACAACTTTTAATAACATTACCCTGCATCTTTTATCAATGGATGAGAAAACAAATTTAAAATGGGTAAATTACAAATAATTTAAATAGCATATTAAATTTCTCAAGTGTGAATAATATCGGTACGAGTGGAGAATTCTTCTTCCACTCATCCCCTCACTTGATCATGATACATAGGATGCATTTACTTTTTGCTAGCTTCCAAGCTCGCCGAGCTGACACCTAGCTCAGCCTGACGTCATACTAACCAGCTTGTAAAAGTATACACAGTAATGGACGCTGCCATCTTTGAACAAACTCCGAGCTTGTTGTGAATTCTCCGAGCACACTAGGAATGCTAGCAATGACATCACGGGTGTGAAAAGTAAATGCTGTGCTTATTGGTAGCTAACAAAAAGTATACAGGCTGAGCTATCTAGGGGCAAGATCAGAGCTAAGAGTAAATGCACCCATATAGAAAACAATGGCTGCATTCAGCAGAGTCAACAGTTATAACTGAGCAAAGGCGTTTCAATTGGTTGCTGTTATGTAGTTACATCTGCTGAACAATGAGTGATGTATGCACTGGAACAAAAACAGCCATTATTGGTCAGTTTCAGGTAGTGATAGGTAGCATAAATGAAAGATGCTACTAAATGTGATGTCAAAATACCAAATATGTTCCAAAACAGCACTACCGTAGAGGGTATTTGGCAGAAAAATACTCAACAATGTAGGAACTGTTGAGTCTGCTGAACGCAGCCAATATTACAAGGAGGCTCGACTTCCCATTCTCAAATTTTGGATTCTATGACATGATGGCACAGTTTTTCATCAAAATTTTGCTAGAGTTGATTTAACGAGCATGTAATGGGTTTGGCCAGGCCCACGATGGGGCAGCCAGGTGGTGAGAGATGGGACCCAACATATGCAGATAGACCACTGCCTGAAAAATTCCTGGGGCTTTTTTGACCCGTTGGGATTTGATCCACCTTCAACCGCTCAGCTATTTGGCCGTATACTAGAGGTGACTAACTGCAGAAGTGAGTGAAAGAGGAGGTCTAAGTTTCAATTTACAGAATTCTTTACTGTACTGTATTATCTTTAGAAATTTTTCACGGTGTCATTTAAAATTTTTCAATTTTCTAATTAATTTTCATAACTAAGTTCAGTTCTGTTTCTACAAGAATTTTGATAGCTGTAAGATAGTACTGATATAAAACTTTACTTATGGTAAATATATAAATGTATGATGATTTTGTAGGTGAGAATTGCTGTTAAAAACTGTGGTGTAAATATTTCTGATTTACTAATAAGTCAAGGAAAATTTAAGGATAAAGTCAAAACACCTTTTATACCTGGTAAGAATATTTTTTATATTTTACTGTTCAATATATTATTATCCATATCTTATTTTATACATTTGGTGCCAAACTGGCTGCATGAGGTTCTTCTATATCCTTCTTGTGGCTCCTATATACTTACATAACTTTGTTTTATAAACTTCATATCTCCTACTTATGTATACATAATATTTTTGTTAGTTTTCTGACTATTATGTATTATAATATATACATATATATAGGATTTTTAAGTGTACCTTACATCTTAACCATGAACAGACAACTGAAAGATTAGGGTACTGTACAGTACATTCATAGAGTTAAGGAATTAAATGACTGTTTACCTAATCTAGTATAAAGTCTCAATGAAGCAAAGTAAAGAAACAATATTTATTATAGACCAGTGATATATGTAGTAATTTAACTATATATAATATAAACAGAGGATATGGCTCTCATGTATTTCTGACAGATAGTAGGCCTATAGGATAGGTGGACCAAAAACGTTCGTGGTATGTTAAAAATATTTGCAAAGTTTCATAAGGTTAGTGTTATATATATTAGATATATATATATTAGTATATGGTTCTTATCATGATAAGAAATGTATTACTCAGCATATATGTAATAAAGGATTTGTACAATATGAGTATTACATGTATTTAATAGAAACAAGAACATATATATCAAATGATATATGGAAAATCTAAAACAGATAATTTCTAAAAACAAAATGAGATATTTAATGATATATATATAAAGAAAAATTCAAATGAAGTATGCAAAACAAAGTATTTCACAAATAAGGAGAAAAGCATGCTAATATACATTATAATCTTTACTATATTTAATATAATTCCTCCACAATTTCATTAATGGCTAGATTCTTTAAAATAAGAAATTTAATTAAACTAGAATTACACTGAAACCAATTTTGCATTATCAGCTTGATCTCATCATATAAAGAAAAGTAACATTTTTTTTATGCCTACATCATAACAATATTCATCCTGATATCACTCATTGTGTTATGAAATACAGTATAAAAAGCAGATGAAATTGGAAATATTATATAGCATTCATATTAATATTAATAAGAGTTGTTTGTTTGGATTCAAACTACTGCATTGGGAATGATGCCTTCCCAGAGCAGTAGGTCGATGCCTTAACAACCTTGGCCATTTGGCTATCAAAGATTTAAAATTAATCTATTATTGTTCTTTAATCTTTGAAAATATATATTTTTTTAATTTGCACTAATTGTAATTATGTATTAGATATCTAGTAGCAGATTCTGTATTATTTTTGTTAATAATAATTATAAAATAATCAATTCTTGTAATTTATATCAAATGTATATTGTTTATTTATTGCATAGTTATCATTTACACATAAACAATTGATATAATAATACTAATATTGAAAAGTAATAAATGCATTTTAATTATTCTGAAGGATTTGAAATATCTGGTGAAGTTTTAGAAGTAGGATCAGGAGTTGTTGATATTTCTGAAGGAGATAGAATTGTTGCATTGAATAAAGAAATTTTAGGAGGTTTTGCTGAAGAATGCATTGCTTCTGAAAATGTAAGTTTGAAACATTAATACTTTCTGTGTGTCATAAAAGAAAGATGGTGTTGCTACTTGTATATAATTGTATGTCATGATTTTTGAAGACATTTTCTGGCTTAAGTAAAATTGAAGAATCATAGTTAAAAAATATCAACTATATTATTGTTTAAATATTAATTTTGAATGCAACTCCATCATTTGGTAAAATAGACAAATCAGTTTTCATAAAAACAAATTTTAAAAAAATTATTCATAATACTTGTAGTAAAAGTCCATCTAGCTCTTGATAATCCAGAATATCAGGTACTCTGTCATATTCTGAAAAGTAGCTGATAATCTGGAATTGACCAGTATTAATCTAGAATGCTAGTATTTCATGAATCAACTTTGAGGAGACAGTGTGCAGGATGGAAATACAGTATGTCTAGAAAATAATTAAATGCATATGAATTATTGTGAATGTTGAGTTTATGCAATAATGCATTTATTAATGTTTTATGCAGGTTTTTCAATCAATCTTAACAGTGTCATTAAGCACTGTATCATCTTTAAAGAAGACACTGTGCATTAAAGATTAAAGAGTTTGCATAAATAAATTGAAATGTGTAATAGCATGCTTGGTACAAAATGTATAGCAATGTCTATGTTTTAATTGCATATAACTTATCAAGTCATGCAAAAATACACAAACATTTATTAATCCCACATTTTTAATAAAGCACCATTAAGGCCCTGTATATTGAACTAATAGAATATTAATTCTGTTACTATAATCTGCTTTATTTACTACAGAGATAATAAAACTTTTACTCCAGCAGTAGGTTCCATATAAAGGCTTGTTGTGAGATGTGTGCTTTGTCATTTGTGAAACTATATCATTAATTATGAACATTTTTCGTAGTTTCTTAAAATATTTATTTTTAAAATTAAATATGATGATGGTCTTTTACAAGAATTTTTTTCAATTTTTGTAATTTTAATATTTAAGCTTATTGCTAGTCATACTAAGTAAAGATTTGTAAATTTCTAGGCTATAGATTTAACTAAAATTATTAGAAATTTACTGATTTTTGATAAGTTATTTGCAATGAACTTGCACATTAGTATTGCATGTTCCACATCCTGCTACAAGTAGATTTTGAATTGAATTGAACCAGTTATAAATTTACTAATTATGTCATTGTCTGTCAGACACTTATCTATGTGGTTATAAATTTACAGATCACTAAATTAGAATAATTAACTATATTATAAGCCATACATTTTAGAGTTTTTTTATGATATTAAAAATACAAGAATAATTCTATTCTACTTTTATATTTAATACTTTTGGCATTTGCGTGAATATGAATTGAATTAAATTATTTCTGATAAAAGATCCAATTATTAACACACTATTCATGAGTAAATTGCCAATTATTATGTTAGAAACTAATTAAATGTATTATATTTAAATTATAGGATATTTGGAAAATACCTCAAAGTATTAATTATGAAGATGCTGCTGCATTGACTGATTCTTATGCGACTGCTCTTATTGCAGCAAGAAGAGTTGATCTGAAGTCTGAGTAAGTTGTATTCTTTTTAAATATTGGTGTACAAGTATTTTTATATTGACATCTCTCTCTCTTTCCTCTCACGATTACTTAAAATGTGGAAAAAGTGGCTTAACAAACTGATTTTGAAATTAGTAATTTTATGAAATTGATTATGACGACAGGAGTTAAAAAAAATTGCTTTTTTTGTATTTTTACCATAAAATGAAAAATGGTTCTGTATTTAGCATAATAGTCAGAAATGTTTTATATAATTTGTTTTGATCATTTTCTGTAAGAAATGAAAACTAATTACATTAACGATGATTAAGTACATTTCTATTATTGTGACAATCAGTTTTGAATATAAATTAAACGTAAAAACCTAAAAACCTTTATAATTCAGCATTCAATTTTGGATAAACAAAAAGAGTAGTTGCATGTGATTTGAACCTGACAATAGCTAATTAAACTAGTGATAAACTTCTATTTATCCAAAATTAAATGCTGGATTATAAAGGTGTTTTGGATTTTATGTTAAGTTCATTTAGTTTGATACTAGTTTTTATAAAACAGCTCATTCTGTCAGAGATATTGTAATAAATCTCATGAAATATTGCTAAAATATGTATATTACATTCATTTTTAGATAGATGCTATTGTAATAGGTAATGATTTTCAGGGAACTTAAAACAAATATTGCATGAGGATTCAAGATTAGCATTAGATAATTCTTTATTTGACTCTCTCCATCCTATGCACACTAAGATGGTCCTTTTTTAAATACTCATAATGAATTTAACCAAACCAGGGGTAGTTGAATGGTGGGGAGAGATATCCAAATCATCTTACTCTTGGAAATTTCTGAGACTGTTCAAACTTGAATTCAAGTTTTCAGACCAGTAGGCTGTTGTCTTCACAGTCTTGCTACTAGATGTTGTAGAAAATTAAATTCATTTTTTAAAAAAATTCCTCTTTATGATACTAATAGGATCTGAAGCAAAACTTAATTTTGTGTTGTCTTCACAGAGATACTGTATTAGTTACAGCTGCTGCTGGAGGCCTAGGTTTGGCTGCAGTCGATGTTTTCTCAAATTTATTTAATGCAAAAGTAAGTAAACATTTTGAATTATAAGAAAAATAATTTTGAGTCTTAATAATTTTTGTATTTTTATTTGAAGGTTTTAGGTATTTGTGGGACAGAAGATAGAGCTGCTCTTGTTAGAGATAAAGGAGCTTTTTCTGCAATGACATACAAAGAAACTAGATTTATGGATGTCATAGAGGAATTTACAGATGGGAAAGGAGTTAAAGTGGTATTTGATGCATATGGAGGAGATTTATTCAAAATGTGCCTTAAAGGGTGAGTTTTAAAGTAAAACACAGTTCTGGACCTTCAGACATTCAACATTTCAACATCTCTATTTCATACGTTTGTTTGTTTTCTGTTTATACTTTTAACATTTAAAATGATTGTGCATTATAACAAATTCACTGTAAAAATATAAAACTTTCTTACCATAATAAGAGATTTTATGACTTCTTTTTTGCTCTCTCCAAATGGAATCTTTTCAATAATATGCAACTTTCTTGTTTGACTTTTATGTTTTTTACATTTGAATATTCGGGACAGTATGTATAAAAATACAAATGAAAATTTTTGTTATTTAGTTTATCAATGGAAGGAAGCTTGGTTGTTGCTGGATTTGCTTCTCAACAAATCCCTGACTTACAAACTAGTGAGCTGCTGCCAAAATCCTGCTCAATAATAGGCGTCTCTCTTACTCAGTACCGTCTCTCAGCCAATGAAACTTTTCGAGATTCTGTACAAGAAGTGATAGATTTACATGAGGATGAATATATAGAACCGCATGTTTCTGCAGTATTCAAGTTAGATGAAGTAAATATTTATTTATTTTTATCTATTTCAAATATTGTTCTTTTTATACATAATTTAAATTTTCATTCTTATTTGAACAGATTAATGAGGCGTTCAAATTTTACGAGGACAAAAAATCCACTGGAAAAGTTGTTATAGATTTGTGATATTTATATTTCAATGATAAATGTATAAAATGAAAATTGATACTATTGCAATGAATTTATTTTGAATGATATACACAATTTTGAAAATTGAATGTATAATTATATTTTAAAAATTTATGCAAGCAATGTATTAAAGCTTTCTAGCAATGTTTTTGCAAATGCCATATTTCAAAATAATGAACATACAATGTATAATGATTATGTAAATAAAACTTTTGATAAGACTTGAGTACAGAAACTGTGATAAATTGATATTGTAATATGATTCTGATTATTTATATATTATAAATAACAAGTTACACGTATGCACTGCTTAATGATGGGGATGACTTCCGTGAAATATGTCATTAGCAAACGTCATAGTGTGCATTTAGATAAATCTATACAGTGCAGTTAACTACTCGCATAGGCTATCTGTAACACAATGCTAATAAAATTATTACAAAAGCAGTTTTTAGCCCTTGGTATAATTAAAGTGTCTACTAATGTGAGGTAGATAAAAAAGTAAGGGTTATCACACCAGTGATAAAAAGCACAAAATACTCAGGAATCAATTGGAACATTTAATTAGATATAAAGAGGTGTAACAGTAAAAACAACTACATGAGTATGAATATACGATATAAATATAAACCAAAATGCATTTTAAACTATTGGAATAGTTCCTCTTCAGTTGGTATTAATATAAAATTATTATACATAAAACTGTGCTAGCTAAACAAACAGCTGTAATGGCATGAACAGTAAACATTAAATAGATAATTATTTAACAAGAAAATCTTAAACAACATCCATGATCTCGGTTTCTTTTTTATATCTGGAAGTAGTTCTATTATAAATTTTCTTGACAAAGTTAACAAAAATATTTCTTTTTATAAACAAGGGAGTATGTGAGTGATAGTCCATTACCTTATTAATGTTACATAATTTCTTATAATGATGATTGCTTATACAATTTAGCTTTGATTTAACAAATACTGTAATTCTAAAGTCCCTTGAGATAGCAAAACATGGCATTAAAGGCACAGAAGAATTTCTAAATAAAGAAAGTCAAAATGGATAATAAGTTTAAAATGTCTGTGTTCTTGATGTCCAATCTCTAGTATTACTATTGATAGAATAGTTAAGTCTCTCAAGACTATAAAATGTGTTGATTGACTCACTGACCTTATTTTTGTCTTACTGAACAATTATTTTCAATTCAACGAAAAATACTATACACAAAAACTGGGGTACCTATGGGGTCCATAATAGGTTCTCTTTTAGCTAAATTAAGCATTATTGATATTGATACTTTTATTACTAATATCCATGGCATTAAATCCTTCAGCAGATATTTGATGACTATTTTATAATTTATGATCCTGTAGTCCTAGACCCTAATGAATTGATTATAACTGTTAATAGTTTAGATAATGTAACATTAATAAGGTAATGAATTAACTCAATATTAACACAACATTCCGGATTTTTCTTATTTATAATCCTTGGAATTTGAGTGACATCAAATAAGCAACTAATGATAAGAGTTTCTCCTCTATGAGACAACCTTACTTTCCAGTATTCGATCAATAGGAAAAACTAATAAAAAAGGAAGTGCCTTATGCCAATGCTGGATAACGTTTTGTTTTGCAGATATTTGCAAATTTAGTGGCATAGTTTTATGTGAATATATGACAAAGGTGACAACAGGTATTTGTCACATTTCTGTGAAGTAAACCTCAAATTTTATCAACACAGGTGACATGATAAAGAAATACAAGTGACACAAGGAAGTGAAAAGGATGAGGTGACACTGGGTGTGGCACGTGGCATCGTCTGTAGGTGTGTAGACGAGGATGAGAGAAGACCGAGTGGAAATCCTGTTGGCAGCCCGGACATTCGAGAACCACGTGCTTTGAGTATAGTTGCTATATATCATTTAATATAGAGGTTCTCAAAATATGGTCCATGAGCAAGCTTCAATTTATCCTCAGACTGATCTAGTCTTTCGAAATTGCACTTTTGTGCTGTTTAGCCAGAGAAAACATTTTTACCCATCATATCTCTTAGAATTGGATTGGTTTGTTTGTATACAGCAACCTAACACGTGGGCGATCTGCTGAATGGGATTCATCCCGGGAGGTTGCATCCCCTATCCCAAGAGATATAACCTATAACCTAAGAGATATGCATCCCCTTCAGCATCCTCCTGGGATGCTGAAGGGGATGCATATCTGTTAGGTTACCGAATAGACAAGATATTTGGCACACAATCAATAAATATCTAAGGAGATATTTACAGGATAAAAAGTGGATGGGTGCATAGGTAGTCTGTGGATTGATAAGTCTGAAAACAATTGATTTAAATATTTTTACAATTTATTTACACATTAATATATATTTACTTACTAAAACTCAAATTTAATATTGTATAAATTTTGATAATATATAAACAGTATATCGAATTAATGTGTAATTTAAAATATTTTAAGCACTTCTATACATGTATGTAGAAAAGATTTGTAATCATCATTACAAATGCAATTGCTAATTTTGTTATTTTCTTTTCGACCATAGAAGTACTTCTGTGTCCAGCTGAAATTAAGAAAATATATCAGAATTTAAATGGAGACAGTAGAATTTACTGTATGAAGAACAAATTAGGATGCTTACAGGAATCGGCGTTAATAGTTGTATTCGGTTTCAATTCTTGGGCACAGTTAATAACGTCATCCGGTATTTCTGGAACTGACGTCATTTCTGAAAAGTGGGTAAATTATTTATTAAATTCGGATTTTTATCAGGAACAAATCTAAAAATCTTACCGCATAAACTAAAAAGGCGATCATCTGTGTCACATTTCTGAGCTTGAGGTGGACATAGACTAGGGTTACAGTCTACTCCACCTACCTCAAAAGGTAGATCTTCACGAACGTTTCCACTAATATAAAAGGCAGGATAAAAATTAAATTGAAGATGGTGTGGTCAATTTAAGGTGTCAGCCTACCGCTTTGGAAACTCGGAATCGAATCCGCGCGAGCAAGTGCCAGAAATTTTTTACATGTGGGCTGTCCGGATATGTCGGGTCCTATCTCTCATCATCTTGGTCGCCCCATTATGGGCCTGGCCGAACTAACTGCAGGTATGGTAAACAGAGACCCTCTTAGTGCCCACAGTACGGGAAAGAGCTAGATGTATACATAAACTGCCAAGTAAAATCGAATTATTTGGTTAACCTGATTTTTCTTTTAATCTTTTACTCTTCATAACAATTTCTTTTTTACTTTAAGAGGGCCTTTTTAATCATATCCGTCGTAGGTTTCGCCAATGCACAATGGATGTACACAAATGACAAGCAGCAAGGCCCTTATCACCCGTGCATACTCATTTTGTCACACCCCGAAAAATTCCTGGAGTTGCTGGCCTGAATTTGACTCTGAGCAGGCTCCCAGAGCTGGTGGGCTAACGCCTTAACTGCCTCTGCCATAAGACCGTCAATACGAGAATATTTATATTTAAAGATTTCTTTATCGAAATTATAAAATAGTATAACTTACCCTGGATAAAAATTGCATATTAATAAATTATTGGGTGGGCAAGTTAACATTGAGCATCCTACGGAATGACTTTCAGCCCAAAATAACTATACAAATTTATTGAAAGAATTTTATCACAATTGTAATTTATGTTTTTATAAATTTAGTATATAAATTTTTAAATTATAGAATGTCCCTTACCGCCTTATAATTTAAACATCCAAGTAAATCGTTATCTTTGCAATTGTTTTCGGTGTAATTATATGACCTGTAATTGCCCCAGCTCTGAATTGCATTTATAGCAATTTCACTTCCCATGTATATATTCTGATTAATGAACTTCAGACAGTTTTTTGGGCCTCGCATGTTAGGACAGTTCTTGCCCCACTTTTCTGCCATTTCTGCCAATTTTTCATTCCACATCTAAAATTAATCCCCCATTACATAAATTAAGATAAAAATTAGACACGAAACGTTTAAAATTAATTGTTATTAAATACACAGTAGAAATAAGAAATTTAATAAGTAGAATCATATTCCACAAGCGGAGTTTTTCAAATATTTTAGTTGGGAATCTTTTCCATGTTACAATTTAACCTCTCCTCAAATGGCAATGATGGGAGCATAAGTGCACACCACGACTTTTATAAACACTCTGTATTATTTAAATAACGTATTTCCTCGATTAAACTTCTATAAATCGGGGGAAACCCTCGACTTATGAACTCAAACGAGACTTTCTCCTGCTGAGTATTCGAAAATTTTAAAGCGGAGCGTTAGCGAAGATTCTATTCTATGTAGTTCACATAATGTGCTCGTTCTCAAAATTTGATGGGCCGATTTTGATAAATCTTTGCCATTTTTCCATTAATTGCGATGAGGGATCAAAAATGTAATAAAAATGGGGGGGTCCGTGGCTTTGTGTTCGAGATAGAGTAGAGTCAAAGTGACAATGTTCGTGCTCCCTGCGCGATTGAGTGTGCCAAAGAAATTTAGGGGACGAAAATGAGATTAAAAAAATAATATTGGCAATGCTCGTAAATAACAAAAAATGAGCGCGAAAAAATAAAACACGACCAAAACAATCGACACCACAGATTGTTCTGTTCTTGGATCATTTTTCTATAGTTGGTAAGTGAAAGAATTGCCTGTCTGTGCTTCGCAATTGTGAAGATTGCCTCTTGAGTGCCCAGCAGATACAAGGATTGCCTCTTTCTTTTCGGCTCCGTCTCAGTTTTATCGCGAGATATCCTAGTTATACCTTTATTTCAAAAAAGTATCCGTGAACCCTAAAACAAAATGCTGTCCGACTCTAACAATTTGAAGAAGTAGAATTTGAGTTAAACTCCTGACCTGATACTCTAGAATTCATTACTGTATACAGTGTACAGTACATTATATTTCAAAATGTTTCCCATACTTTGAAACTCCGGGTTTCATTTTTAACCGTTCCTTTATTCCCCGGGGTTTAATGGAGGAAATGCTGTATACTTTACTGTAATAAAGGATTACAGAATAATTCTTAAATGTTATCAAAGCTCATTATATTGACATTTTTAGTAAAAGTTTTTAACAAGTTGATTTAGGAAATTGAAAATATTCACCAATTTTATCATTTTATTGCTAGTAGCCGGAGGATGTCTTCTGAAATAATTGAGTCTTGTAAGAATATCTTTTATTTCGCCCTCTTTAAAACCTAAAGAGTTCTGCATTTTACTGGAATCCACCTGTAAAATGTGCGCTAATTCGTTTCTTTCCGAAGAAACTAAGCATTTTTCATCCAAACACATTACTTCGAACAACATCAAAACTAAAACACTTCGAATCATTGTTTGAACCTGTGACAAAACACATATCTATGATTAAAAGAAATCTATTTAACTTTAAGAATTTAATTTCGTAATTCAATTACAAATTTCTAAACAAATAAAATTATAGGCACGTCTAGAATGTAAAATATCAATTAAATAAACAATTGGAGTAAAAACTAACAAGAAAATCGAATAAAATGAATTAATGTGTAACATTTTTCAGTGCTTACCTCTTTGAATTCCAAGCTAGAATAAATGGAAATTGCTCAAATTTAACGTAAAATTCTGTGGAATACAATTCAAATTCGAATTATTCAACGATAAAAAGTTATTCGCTATTTTGAAAGAGTTTTCGAATGTTCCGAATGACGTTTGCGCGTGTAAAGTGGACAACACGTGGACGAGGATGACCACGTGATTGTAATGGCGGGTGTCAATAAAGTATTAATTTGTAATTAGAATTTGTAATTTTGTTATAAACTAAACATGACAACTAGGCAGTTATAGAGCGATAGGCTATTCTACAATGAAAAAAAAAAAAATCGATCCGGATCTTTTCTACTAGAATATTTTAAAATTAATTAATTTGATTCTAATTACTGTATATTTTTTCCTTTCTTTACACAGACACAATGTAGTGACAATTTTCAAACACTATGCAAATTTTTCATCTTTTTATTTAGTTGGAACGCTTTTTACATCACGCGTTTCGGGCTCCTGCCCCTCCTCAGCCAACTAAACATTAAAATCATACATAAGAAGAGGATACATATAAATACGCGAATTATGATCCGACAATATACAAAGGGACCATACGCCACGTAAATATTCTATAAACATATCTTAAAATTTTCCCATATGCAACAAATACGTATATACAGACGGCACAGCATTTTTTGGTTAACACATTCGGATTGTTTTCTTTTTCTAACAGTAACCAGTATACTAATACGCAATGGACCGCACTTCGTTCCATAGGTTGGACAAAGGACGAACAGACCAACAGGACAAATTTCTACAAGTTTTTCAACATTCGTCTATATAAATAAATCGAATTTACAAAGAATATAATAACATCTACTATATCTATGATTTGTATCTTAACACATCACTTGGATTTACATAGTAACAATTGCTGCTGCCACGAATAGGTCTCCCACGCAACCACTTCAACTACATAATTTAGTTTATTGATTTGCATATATACCAATAGGGCAAATTTTTTAAAACATTTTTGGGTAATCAATAAAAATTTAATATTGCTTAAGTAACTGCAATATTGATAAATCCAATATAGAGATTCTACATAAAGAAAAGAAAACATCACAAAAAATTCAACGAAAGTGTAGCAATTATCAAGAATAAAAATAAAAATTGCATAAATAAAAATTTAAGTGTCAGAATCCTTGAAAATTGGATAAAAATGCTTTTTTTCTTTTTACTCTTTCTGCCCTGTGGGCACTAAGAGGGCCTCTTATAGCAGGCCCATTATGGGTTCGACCAGGCCCACAATGGGGCGACCGGGTATTGAGGGACGGGGCCCGACATATCAGAACGGACCACCCCCCGAAAAATTCCTCGGGATTCTTTGACCCGTCCGGATTCGATTCCGGTTTCCCCAGAGCAGTAGGCTGCCACCTTGACCGCTCGGCCATCCGGCCAAAATAAAAATGCTATGAAAGTGCTAGAGAATGTTAAATATTGTTATACAGTAATATTATAGAGTTCAAATTATAGAGTACGTTTGCATAATAGCTATTAGAATTAATTAAAAAAACAATTAACCTATGTTTTTGTATGCTAATAAGTTTTATGTGCAGTTGTTATGGTTTGTATTAAAACATTTTTATTGATTACCCAAAAATGTTTTAAAAAATTTGCCCTATTGGTATATATGCAAATCAATAAACTAAATTATGTAGTTGAAGTGGTTGCGTGGGAGACCTATTCGTGGCAGCAGCAATTGTTACTATGTAAATCCAAGTGATGTGTTAAGATACAAAGCATAGATATAATAGATGTTATTATATTCTTTGTAAATTCGATTTATTTATATAGACGAATGTTGAAAAACTTGTAGAAATTTGTCCTGTTGGTCTGTTCGTCCTTTGTCCAACATATGGAACGAAGTGCGGTCCATTGCGTATTAGTATACTGGTTACTGTTAGAAAAAGAAAACAATCCGAATGTGTTAACCAAAAAATGCTGTGCCGTCTGTATATACGTATTTGTTGCATATGGGAAAATTTTAAGATATGTTTATAGAATATTTATGTGGCGTATGGTCCCTTTGTATATTGTCGGATCATAATGCGCGTATATATATGTATCCTCTTCTTATGTATGATTTTAATGTTTAGTTGGCTGAGGAGGGGCAGGAGCCCGAAACGCGTGATGTAAAAAGCGTCCCAACTGAATAAAAAGATGAAAAATTTGCATAGTGTTTGAAAATTGTCACTACATTGTGTCAGTGTAAGGAAAAAAATATAAAATACGGTTTCATTAGTATAAAAATTAATTCTAATTATTAAATTTAATGCAAAATGAGGACTCGATGGCCTACTTTTATGAAAGTCTATAAACACAATGTCTGAATACGATACCGTGATTCATGGCGGCAGTCTCTATATTGGGTCCTTTGATGCTCTGTGTAGTGTTTCTAGAGCGAATTTGGTTATTGGTTTTTTCGATTTCGATTAGTTGAATTCCTTGTCATATATTTTTTTTAAAATGGTTTGGTATTCAGCACCACTGTAAAAATTCGTCAGCCAAAAGATCGTTCCATTTTCCAGCTGACAGATCCAGGAAAGTGATGATTTAAGAGTTAACTATATGAAAGTAACAAGTAAATGAAAAGATACGCTATTTGAAATTATAAAAGGAATTCCGTGGCTTAAACTCGAAGGAACGTGTGGTTTACTGCACCTACATAGCATGAAATCTAAGCTGGGACCTTGGAAAACTAAGGACCCAATATGGTGGCTCCATAAGGAATATTGGGGTCTTGACCTTTGTGTTTATAAACCTTGCTTTTAGTTCAAATTATTTTAAATATATATATACAAACGGTGTTTAACTAGCCAAATTATAGCTTACTAAATCCACACAACTTGATTAATTAACAAAGTTTACAATTGAAGGATTCTGGTTTTAGAACTATGAATTGGAAAATAATCTCGCACATTCTCAAATTGGATTTGACTCATCAGAACAGGAAGAAAACGTAATTAATGATGACTACGAGTTTAAAGAAATAGGAAAGGGGAATTTCGATACAGTTCATTTGGCTCGATCTAAAAAAAATGGCTTTGAAAGCCGCCAAGAAGCGTATTCTCTTGCACAGGTATTGCTTTAATTCTGTTTTCGCTCGTAATACGGTGTCAAAATAACAGAATATGTTTGTAAAATTATTCTTGACTTCAAAAGTCATCAACTGGCATCATTTATGTTGCGTGAATTGATTTTGAAATATAAAATTATCCAATCCATTCTGAACACACAAGCATTGCAATTACCTATTATCCGATCCCTGAACTTTCCCTATTTATAACGAGATGCATAAGAACGATGTAACCACATTATTTCAGTCAATATCCATTCTCAAATTGATTTATATTACATTTGTAGGCATTTTTACGCTTAAAAATACAACTGAAAAGGCTATTATATCTATGATTTGTATCTTAACACATCACTTGGATTTACATAGTAACAATTGCTGCTGCCACGAATAGGTCTCCCACGCAACCACTTCAACTACATAATTTAGTTTATTGATTTGCATATATACCAATAGGGCAAATTTTTTAAAACATTTTTGGGTAATCAATAAAAATTTAATATTGCTTAAGTAACTGCAATATTGATAAATCCAATATAGAGATTCTACATAAAGAAAAGAAAACATCACAAAAAATTCAACGAAAGTGTAGCAATTATCAAGAATAAAAATAAAAATTGCATAAATAAAAATTTAAGTGTCAGAATCCTTGAAAATTGGATAAAAATGCTTTTTTTCTTTTTACTCTTTCTGCCCTGTGGGCACTAAGAGGGCCTCTTATAGCAGGCCCATTATGGGTTCGACCAGGCCCACAATGGGGCGACCGGGTATTGAGGGACGGGGCCCGACATATCAGAACGGACCACCCCCCAAAAAATTCCTCGGGATTCTTTGACCCGTCCGGATTCGATTCCGGTTTCCCCAGAGCAGTAGGCTGCCACCTTGACCGCTCGGCCATCCGGCCAAAATAAAAATGCTATGAAAGTGCTAGAGAATGTTAAATATTGTTATACAGTAATATTATAGAGTTCAAATTATAGAGTACGTTTGCATAATAGCTATTAGAATTAATTAAAAAAACAATTAACCTATGTTTTTGTATGCTAATAAGTTTTATGTGCAGTTGTTATGGTTTGTATTAAAACATTTTTATTGATTACCCAAAAATGTTTTAAAAAATTTGCCCTATTGGTATATATGCAAATCAATAAACTAAATTATGTAGTTGAAGTGGTTGCGTGGGAGACCTATTCGTGGCAGCAGCAATTGTTACTATGTAAATCCAAGTGATGTGTTAAGATACAAAGCATAGATATAATAGATGTTATTATATTCTTTGTAAATTCGATTTATTTATATAGACGAATGTTGAAAAACTTGTAGAAATTTGTCCTGTTGGTCTGTTCGTCCTTTGTCCAACATATGGAACGAAGTGCGGTCCATTGCGTATTAGTATACTGGTTACTGTTAGAAAAAGAAAACAATCCGAATGTGTTAACCAAAAAATGCTGTGCCGTCTGTATATACGTATTTGTTGCATATGGGAAAATTTTAAGATATGTTTATAGAATATTTACGTGGCGTATGGTCCCTTTGTATATTGTCGGATCATAATGCGCGTATATATATGTATCCTCTTCTTATGTATGATTTTAATGTTTAGTTGGCTGAGGAGGGGCAGGAGCCCGAAACGCGTGATGTAAAAAGCGTCCCAACTGAATAAAAAGATGAAAAATTTGCATAGTGTTTGAAAATTGTCACTACATTGTGTCAGTGTAAGGAAAAAAATATAAAACACGGTTTCATTAGTATAAAAATTAATTCTAATTATTAAATTTAATACAAAATGAGGACTCGATGGCCTACTTTTATGAAAGTCTATAAACACAATGTCTGAACACGATACCGTGATTCATGGCGGCAGTCTCTATATTGGGTCCTTTGATGCTCTGTGTAGTGTTTCTAGAGCGAATTTGGTTATTGGTTTTTTCGATTTCGATTAGTTGAATTCCTTGTCATATATTTTTTTAAAAATGGTTTGGTATTCAGCACCAAACTAAAAATTCATCAGCCAAAAGATCGTTCCATTTTCCAGCTGACAGATCCAGGAAAGTGATGATTTAAGAGTTAACTATATGAAAGTAACAAGTAAATGAAAAGATACGCTATTTGAAATTATAAAAGGAATTCCGTGGCTTAAACTCGAAGGAACGTGTGGTTTACTGCACCTACATAGCATGAAATCTAAGCTGGGACCTTGGAAAACTAAGGACCCAATATGGTGGCTCCATAAGGAATATTGGGGTCTTGACCTTTGTGTTTATAAACCTTGCTTTTAGTTCAAATTATTTTAAATATATATATACAAACGGTGTTTAACTAGCCAAATTATAGCTTACTAAATCCACACAACTTGATTAATTAACAAAGTTTACAATTGAAGGATTCTGGTTTTAGAACTATGAATTGGAAAATAATCTCGCACATTCTCAAATTGGATTTGACTCATCAGAACAGGAAGAAAACGTAATTAATGATGACTACGAGTTTAAAGAAATAGGAAAGGGGAATTTCGATACAGTTCATTTGGCTCGATCTAAAAAAAATGGCTTTGAAAGCCGCCAAGAAGCGTATTCTCTTGCACAGGTATTGCTTTAATTCTGTTTTCGCTCGTAATACGGTGTCAAAATAACAGAATATGTTTGTAAAATTATTCTTGACTTCAAAAGTCATCAACTGGCATCATTTATGTTGCGTGAATTGATTTTGAAATATAAAATTATCCAATCCATTCTGAACACACAAGCATTGCAATTACCTATTATCCGATCCCTGAACTTTCCCTATTTATAACGAGATGCATAAGAACGATGTAACCACATTATTTCAGTCAATATTCATTCTCAAATTGATTTATATTACATTTGTAGGCATTTTTACGCTTAAAAATACAACTGAAAAGGTAAAACATGGCTTTGTTTTGAGATTAAACGCGCTAAAACTATATTTTAAACTGCAAATAAATATTTTCTTATTATAAATAAAATTTAACATTTTATTAATTTTCATAGCTTATATACAATACACCGTATTAATAGTAATTTAAAATATTTTAACAATTATTATATGTAGAAAGTATTTGTAATGATCACGACAAGTAAACATGTTAATTTTATTATTATTTTCTTCTCGACTGTAGGAGTATTTCTGTATCCACCTGAAATAAAAGGGAAAAAAACAACTTAAATGGCGATAATAACATTTAAGGCCGATTACTGCCTCCTATATATAATACATTGCCTGTTAATTATAGTAAAATATAATAAGAAATGGCGCCTAACGCCTACCCCTAGTATTTATTTTAGTATTTACCTATTACCTATTAATAGTAGTATATTGTCTGTTCGATTCCGATAAGAATTGTGTTTCCGAGTAGTTCAGTTTTCGCCTCCGAGAAGATATTGGTGATGTAGTGGTGTTTTTTTTGTTGTTTATAATATATTCGATAGTTTTCGATCACTTTACAATTCAAACTAATTTCATAATGTTTCAAACTTAAGCAGCGAAATTTGGCAAGGTAGCTTATGTATAAGGGGCGTCGATGCTATTAAATTTTGATGGTGATAGGTCGAGAAGATGGAGAGATAGAAGCCATATTTCGCGCGGGTCGGACTTAATGAAGATTTCACTTGTTAGCATTTACAATTATTTAAAAATAAAACTCATCTCTACATAAAACATATTATAAATGTTGGGAATAGATTCTCCGCCATTGCCACATCTAGTGGCCAGGAATAGGAAACACAAAATTTTCTAAAAACTGGTCGAATGAACAGGCAGTGCGTATATAAGACAGTGGACCGGTTCATACTTCGTGAGAACGGAAAGAGAAGAAAAAAAACACACAAAATAACTTTAGTACGCGACACTTCGCTCATTAATAATGACATAATTCTGCCCTCTTTCGGTTGAAAAGTCGACAAAAGTTCTGTTTTTCTCTCTGTTTGTTAGGCGTACTTTACAATATTTTGCATCCTTCGGTGCGTAGATTGATAAAATTGAAATGATTAGAATTAGAGCGTAATTTATCATTTATACATTTGAAATTAACCATGGTACGCCACTCGGGATCAAAATGACCTCAATGAATTTAAAAATAATGCCATTTGCTAACTTATTGTTTTAGGTGCTTCCCGATTCATGACGTTCTATCTATTTATTACACCCATATGAAATTTCACTGAAAAAAATACTGTTGTATTTAAGAAATTTGCAAGTCATATGGTCTGTTGGGTCACATTGTACACCACATTTCGAGGAAATCAAATCAGAGGAAGAGTGGGGTGTCCGGATTTTATAAAAGTCTATATTTTCCTCAGACTTCCAGAGAATAAGTATGAAAAATTTGGTGCGGATCGGACAAATGATATAGGAGTTAACGGTTCTGCATTAACAGTTCCAGATCCAGCAGCAGAATTGGATCTCCCACCTATTGTAATGATACTGGCATAACTCTGGTGGAAGTACTGTTATCTCACTGTAATTGTTTTAAACGATTACTTCGCGATGGTAATACATTTTTTTCTTTTAGTTGATTAGATTTATTTTGACACTAACTGTAGCGATGTATCATGAAACCACTCAAAATCTCTGTTCTTTATTTCCGAATTAATTAGCCGAATGTACTCTCCTTTTTAAAAATTTTACCACTCTAAAGCTTTGAATGAGTACCGAAAATGCATGCGCCCTTCTTTTGCATACGGGAAGAGAATAATAGAAAAGAGATATTTTCTATTTTCTTCTCTTTTCCATTCTGACGAAATATGAACCGGCCTTAATGTGTGTAGAATTATGATACTTACAGCACTGAACATGAGTAGTAGTATCCGGTTCCGAAGTTGTGTACAGTTCCGATGTTGTATCCGGTTCCAAAGTTGTACTCGGATCCAATTGTAGAGCACAGTTAATAACCTCATCTGGTATTTCTGGAACCGATGTCATTTCTGAAGAAGTAGGTAAATTATTTACTACATTCGGATTTTTATCAGGTGCAAATCAAATCTTACCGCAAATACTAAAAACGGGATCTTCCGTATCACATTTCTGAGCTTGAGGTGGACATAGCTCAGGGTAACAATCTGATTTTCCTACTTCAAAAGGAAGCTCTTCGTCAAGTTTTTCACTACTAATGTAAACGATAGGAGAGAAATTAAATTGACAGTCAATGTGATTAAGATGGGAATCGCTCTGGGTAATTCAAAATCGAATCCGCATAATTAACTCTCTAAAAGATGTCTTGGATATGTCATGTTCTGTCCCTCTATTGTGCACCTGCCCGAACTTAAGGTAGGCACGAAGAGGAGGCCCATTTAATACTCACAGAAACAAAAATGCTAAAATACCACTTAAAACCGAAACCAATTCGGTAAAATTGTTTTTTTTTTTGTTTTTAAAATTGAATTAATAATTTTTAATTTTTTTACTTTAGTGGCTAAATATATTATACATTTTTTCACAATAGAAAATTTTCATCATTACATAATCATTCATTGAAAAATACGCGAAGTATTTTTTACTCTTCCAGGCCTGTGGCACTAAGGGCCTTTTAAATTATATTCGTCGTGGGTTCATCGATCAGTGGGAGACCGAACTGTGAGGAATGGAACCTGACATCAGGGACAGACCATTCCCGAAAAATTGCTACAGTTTCCTGAATGTAATTCTCATCTTTCAGAGCAATAGGCTGACACCATAACTGCATGGGCATCCACGTTCAACACGAAAATATTTATATTTAAAAATGTATTTATAGAAAATTACGATATATTATAACTTACCCTGGATAAAAATTGCATATAATTAAATTGTCATGCCTGCAAGTCAATATTGCGCATCCTACAGAATGACTTTCAGCCCAATATAACTATAAAATTTATTCAAAGAACCTTATCAGAATCGTAATTTATATTTTTATAAATTTAATATTAAGTTTTAAATTACAGAATTTGAATTTTTCCTTACCGCCTTATAATATAAACATCCAATATAATCTTCATCGAAGCAATAGTTTCCAGTGTAATTATATGACCAGAAAATGTTCCAAGCCGTAAGTGCACTTCTAACAGTTTTACCGTTTCCTCTGTATATATTTTGATTAATGAATTTTAGACAGTTTTTTGGGCCTCGTTTGTGGGGACAATTTTCGCCCCATTCTTCTGCCATTTTTGCCAATGTGTTATTCCACATCTAAAATCAATCATCATTATATTAATATAAATAAGATACCAAAATACACAAAATTAATAATAAAATGAGACAAAAATCCTCTTTTAGACTCTTTTGAACTACTTGGTGGCCCGTTTCCTTTTATGATAGCCTAGAAGTTGTGGAAGGAAAGGTCTTGAGGAAGGTCTGGACCTTCCTCAAGACCTTTCTTTCTAGAGTGGTTGCTATTGACCCAGGGATCGAAGAGGCATTTTTGGTGGAATCAATTGTTTATATATACATGTTATGAATGAAAACTGTAACTAAATCAATTAAAAAATTGTAAAACCACGCGCATCAGAAATATAATTTGCACATAAAATATACGTGAAAAAGCAATTGGCGTGATTAAGCAAATCTCGATTACTTGTAAATACGTGTATACATACTTATTTATAAAGTTCAAGTGTGGGAATGAGAAGAAAGAAGAAATTCGATTGGTTTGATGGTCTATGGCAACGCAACATGTCCATATTGAGAGGACTTTTATAAGATTGACCCCTATTTAGGTGTTAGACACGTAAAAAAAATTCAGAAAACTCCACATGGCGAGGTTGCTGGTGAGGCTCAAACCTTCGATTAATGTTTAATGCTTTTACCACTCGGCTAGTGTAGACTAAAATAAAAAATCAAGTTATATTTACAGATTTATTTTAGCTATTCCTATTTGGCTCAGTTTCAGCAAATGTGAGGACCAGTTGGTATCAATAAAAAAAAACGATGACTAAAGAAAAACTACACAATATACACCGTATATTATATGAAAATATATATATATATATATATATGAAAATAGCTTTAAATATGTAATTCTCAAAATACTGGAATCCAACAATGGCCAACTGAATAAAACAATTGAACACTGGAAGTTAACTAAAGTTAGTAAAATAATTTCTAATAAATTTGTTTTGATACTTTTTAATTAATTTTTGTGTTTAATCAACATAAAACATATAAAAATTTGTTTAGTTTTCGTATATAATTGAGGTCGTGATCAACACTTTTGTAAGGTCGTTGTAGCGCGCCTCAATCAACAGGCTGACCACGTGAAATTTACAGGGTTTTCTTTACGTGTCTAACACCTAAATAGTAGAATACTAGATAATTTTTTACCGAAAGTACTTCCCCTTTGCAGAACCCCTTGCGTTGCGTTGCTCTATTCCATCAATCCAATCAACAAAGCAGGATAGCAATTAGAACAACAACTCCTGTTTTCGAGGAAATTATAACTCTATATAACTTTTGTTTGCTCGAGAATAAAGTATCGAACCTCATGACTTCTGGTTGAATACAAGAAAGCAAGGGACTGATTGGATTCGCTTTACCATTTGGTTTAATGTCGTTCCTATAACTTCCAATTGTTTATCAGAACGTCAATAACATTTCATTGAAATATTTTGGATGTCAACGTCACGTCATCAACAACAAAAATACAAATTCATTCTAAATTTCAAAAATACAATCATTCTATTGCCAAAACAACAAGCATTCTACTACTAAATGAACATATTTAAATTTAAAATTTGAAATTAAATACATTCCATTTATAATTAAGTATATATTAAATATTTGAAAACTGTTTCTTAGAGTGAAATTAAATTAACTTACAGCAAATTGCATATAAAATTCTTAAATATTATGTTATATAATGAACTATAGGCCTAAATATAATAAATAGCTTTATATTTATTGTATACTAATAGGATTATAGTTAATTTTATTACAAGTTTTAATAAAATTAAACTAAGAAAGATTTAGTAAATAGAAAATACCAATTTTATCATTTTATGACTTGTATAGGGAGGATGTCTTTTGAAATAATTCAATCTTCTCAGTATATCTTTTATATCGTTTTCACTGAGAGCTATGGGCTTCCCCTTTTCACTGGAATCCTTTTGTAAAATGTTTGCTAATTCGTTTCTTTCCGAAGAAACTAAGCAGCTTTCATCCAAAGCCATAACTTCGAACAATACCAGAACCAAAACGCTTCGAATCATTGTATGAGCCTATAATAAAACACATAGGGCAAATCAGGATTAGAAGGTAAAAGCTGAACAAACTGGTGTTTCCTCATCATACCAAACAACACAATAACCAGCAACTTAATGGTGTTTTCGAGAAACAGAAAAACTAAATATCTTTTCTGCTAATTCACCGTCTCACCTTTAGAGGTGTGGGTTAGTTGACGAACAGAATATGGATGAGTCTGCTGTAATTTTTGACGAATTAAAGGTTAGACTTATTATTCAAGCTTCTAAAGTATTATATACGAGAAATCAAAGTCGTCCGCTAATCTTAAGATTTTTAAGGCTTCAGTAAACATAAACATGTATAAAATATTGAGCAAATCAGGAACAGAAACCTATTTTTACAACAATCGCGCGTGGCTGTACACACAGTAATCATTGCTGGGTGTGCTGTCGCGCCCAGCGTCATGGCTCCCAATTAACACAATATATTAATACGTAACACCGTGCTTTAGTTTATACCGTAATGACACGTGTTCATCATCTAACCCTTATTTATAATTTTTTTTAAATACGATTTCAGTTTATGTATATATGTTACTATGAATGACCGATATCTGGTGAATGTCAACATTCTCCGCTGAATGTCAGCATTCACACATTCGTTTCGTGTATGTACGAAATATTTGCTAAATATCATTGTTTCTCACTTACAACGGCAAATGTGGACATTCAGTATGCACTGATGGTGAACGTTGAATAAAAATATTTTTACAGTCGACCCCCCTATAACATTGTTGATTTTTCTGTTTTATATGAATTCCATGTTGTACGAGTCACTTAGATTTTACACATACGTGTGCTGGGCTGTGAACTGCTTACGTATTTGTAGAATTCAAGTGACTCGTACAACATGGAATTCATATAAAACGGAAAAATCAACAGTGTTATAGGGGGTCGACTGTATTACATTAAGACAAAAATGCAACTTTTTAATATGTCAAAATAGGAGAAAGCTTAATTAATTAACAGCACATGTAAATAAACTGTTGAACCTAAAACGAACAGTACATTCTTAATCAGAAAAGAAAATAATACGATAATAAACTTACACATAAATTATGTGATTAACGTTATACAAATTCTTTACAAATTACGAACCGATTACGTTACTACGCGATTACGGACGAATCTGTTAATGGTGTCTTTTATTCGGATATCGCCAACGCCTTACCGACGACCCCTCTCATTCTCTACCACTCGACCTGACAAACCGATCCCCACCACACGGGATCAAAAGAACAAAAATGCCATCCAGTGACAAATTGGGCAGTTTCCACCAAACCGTTGCCGGAAAAAGAGGTAGGACCGTGTCCTACCTCCGACTATTCACAAAGGATTTGGCGACAGACTGTCGCCTCTCTGTCGACATTGGCTTCTCGGGTGTCATTTCGACCTCCACCAAAGCTTATCTGTGCTTGTCGACATACACCGGCGATTGTTCGAATGTATAATAATATGACCAAATATTCGGTCTTTCACCGATGTATTTTGTATGTGTCGACATTCACCGGAGAATATCGACATTCTCTAATTTCGGTCTTTCACAGTAACATATATATTTACGTAATTAAATATAAAATTTCTAGAAAAACAAAATTATATGCAAGTCTTGAATGTAAAATATGGATTAAATAAGAATAAAATGAATACTGTGTAACATTTTTCGGACTTACCTGTCTGAATTTCAACATAAAATCAATGAAAATTTTTTTAAATTCAACGTAAAATTCCGTGGAATACAATTGAAATTGGAATTATTTAAAAGATAAAAAAGCTATTCGCTGTTTTGAAATAGCTTTAGAATATTCTGAATGATGTCGCGAGCACGTGGTTATAATTGCAGGAGCACGTGGGAGTCATTCCGTAATATTAATAAATTTAATACAAGATGGCGACTCAATCATTTACTTTTATTCAACGTCTGTATAAGATGGTCAGAACACGATCCCGTGATTCTTTGCGGAAGCGGACACGTGGTTCCTGGGTGGGTCGACTATATTATATACAGGGTGTATTTTTTATCTTGAGACATTGAAATAACTTAATTGGATCTCATTGTTTTGGAAAAAGGTATAGACAAAAGTTGTAGGATGTCGAGGGCCAATCAATTGATGACCTCGGATGTGACCTTGACCTTCAAGGTCATTTGGAGATCAAGTCTGTTTTTTCAATGGGAACACATATTTTTTTACCCGAAAATGGAAAGAGCAACAAATTTCACAATCGGATGTACCTTTGACCTTATTGTCTAGGTCAAAGGTCAAGATTATTTTAAGGTTAAAATTATAAGCTTTTTCTAATGGAAAATCATACTTTTTACTACTGTTAACTCTCGAAAACCACTTAAATTACATTTTGTGCTAGCCGCTATTTTTGTATTATGTAATTTTCCTATTCGAATGCCATTATACCACTGGTCTGATCAAAAGAAGGAAATGTCACAGAAGGGAGTCGAACTTAATTCGACCAAAAGTAATCATTTACCTTTTCCTGGAAGAGAGGATGGTCAACCGCTACTAATTAATAAAGGTCTACTATTACTATTTGAAAAGTGATCCGTGTTAGACAGTTTTGATTGAATTGCTAAGCTTAACGTTCGAAATTGAATATCCGAAAGCTAACAACGCTTACGCTGAAAGAAAAAAAGTACGAACTTGTGTGTGAATTTGAATGTAATAAAACTTCGCAAGCCGAATTTGCAAAACAAGAAAAGGACTCACCAGTGGCCAAGCGGTCTTCGTTCCCTGAACACTGGTAGTTCGGTTATGGGCTATTTATGATGTGGTTATATTCTAACACGACGCGACCGGTGTTGTTGCCGCGGTTTCCAGAGATCTCATTTCCTATACTATTGGATATGTGGTTATTACCGTTAATGTGAACGCGTGCTAAATTATAAATCATGTTTCCCCTGTAACCGTGTTTAATCGCTAATGATTTCAAGTATTTTAGTTCTTTGTGGTGTCCGTGTAATTGGTGCAGTTGGTGACTAGCCCGTTTGGTAAGCGATCTAAAGGCCGCGATTTTGTATGCAACATACGGTCAAACATTTCAAACAGATCCCCTGAAAGGAGTCTGCCCATGAGTACCACATGTTGTTGTAAGTAGCGTTATTGAAACGAAAAAAGGAAGAATAACATAGCATATGGACCAGATTTAATGTATGTTGGTGTTCGGTTCTCCGGCCATACTTTAATAGCCAAGTCCTCAAATCACACTATTCGCGGAGATAGTCATGTAACGATTTTGGACTTCATAGCACTGTACCCCTCTATTAGGATACAACCGTGATTCTACACGTTAATATTAAAAATAGTCGAATAAAATAGTGTAATAATTAAACAAGTTCAATTGTTAAGTAATTATTAATTCTAATAATTTAAATAAGATATAAAAATTATAATGACTGATCGATTGACAAAATCACAAATATCCTTATTTAAAGAAGTGTTTTCTCTTTTCGATAAAAACGGCAATGGAAGTATCATGAAAGAAGAATTGGATTCCGTTCTTAAATCTTTAGGAATAATTTCTACAAAACAAGAACTCGATGATTTCATTAATGATGTAGACGAAGATGGAAATGGAATTATAGAATTAGACGAATTTCTTAATATGATGAGAAAGAGGATGACAGCAGAGAAAAAGAAGAATATAACCAGAGAGTTATTTAACAAAATTGATAGAAACGGTAACGGTGTAATAGGTCATCAAGAAATATATGATACAATGCTGAATCTGGGTGAGAAACTGACACATGACGAAGTCACTGAAATGTTTCAAGAAGCAGATATTAATCAAGATGGAAAAATAGATTATGAAGATTTTGTAAAACTAGTGAATAAAATTAAAAAATTGGAAAAAAAGTCGACGTTTTATAATGTCAATTCCGAGATTAAATCAAAATCCAATAAAACAAACAAATCTAATAAGACTACATCAGATAAATCAACTGGAAGTAAAGAGAGAAGGGATCCCGTTTCTAACATGAAAATACCTAAAGTAAAGGACGAAGTTAAAAATCCGAACACGTGCCAAATATGAAAAGAAAAAGAAAAACTTACCTTGAATATATTTAGTTGCAATTTTACTAAAATTAATAAATTTTTGTTTTTAAACACATATATGGCTTAAAACAAATACTGCTTCTATCACATTAATTCTATATTTGTAATTTTTTTGGACTTCACTACATTTTTAATTTTGTTTTTTCTAATTACCTCTTTCGAATGCAAAATGCTACCCTTCGTATTAATAATTTAGCGAGGCCTACCTGTGGCCCAGCGGTCTTCGTACCCTGAACACTGGGAGTTCGGTCGTGGGTTCGAGCTTCGCTCGGACGGACTACCCACGTGGAGTTTTCCGGGTTTTCTCCACGTCTGTAACGCCTAAATAGAACCCTTCACGAAATCTTTCGGAAGGCATGCCCCTAAGGCAGATCTCCTAAGTGTTGCGTTGTCATAACAACAGAACACACACAATAATATAGCGCGTCTATCGCGCTATATCATTGTCGTGATAATTAAGTAAATATAATATTTGTTTTTTTTTAAATTATATCATTTTTTGTATGAATTATACTGTATTTAGTTTATTATTTTTAAAATTTTTAGCGAATAGATAGTGCTGCATGTAAAGTTAGCAAACGGAATGTAGACAGAAATTAACTGATATATAGAAATTCAATCAATATTTTGGGATGGTATATACGATATTATCTAAGTCAGAAGTATTTTAACGTCAATACGAAGTTTCGTACCAACTGGTGGAATGGCCGAAGAGTACATAGCAAACAAATAAACAGTCTTATTTATATGTAGAAATTAATAAGTAGACCTAATATTGACTAAATGAAAAACAAAATTAAAATTAGTTTTTGCCTCTATTCGTTTAAATTAAACTTAACGAATTAGTATTAATATGAAGGTCCAATAAAGAACAAATATGCGGTGCCTTCTAATTTCGAACAATCCAGAGTTAGAGTTGGATAGTTCCGGTAGGAACCGCTTCGAACTGAAACTACTAGAAACTGTTCCACGTGGAGTGTCGAGACAGTTCCGAAACTACTGACACATTCTCCATTTTGTAATTTTATGAATAAAGCCATAACGCGTTCTGAACGTTAGCTGATGCAACTACAATATGGCGGACCGGACATCTTGAAGTAAGAGTTTATAATGTGTCACTGTGAAAGATACTGTGTTGATAAGAAATGAAAATGACGCTCAAAGAACATAAAATGCAACTCGAAATATCACGGTAATAGTTCTTGTAAAAATAAATAACTCTGCAACATTCTTGATTCTCATAAAAAAGACTTATTTATGAATAAAAGTTCTTGACAAAGTAATTATTTTTAGTAAATTAGTTGTTAGAAAATGTTGACATCTGGATTACCGCTACAATTTTTCATGAATGATTGATTGAGTGTTGAAAAGTATCCAAGTTACACTTCTGTAGGTGATGAATAATTTTGTTATCTACTTATATAAGATAATTGAAAATACATAGATTATAATGAAAAAGAAAATGAAAATCACCTCGTTATTAGAGAGGTTGAGGCCGAAGTTTTCATCTCTCAAACGTTAACGCCGAACGTCGAGCGCCGCTTAAGATAGCGGCGCTCGACGTTCGGCGTTAACGTTTGAGAGATGAAAACTTTGGCCGCAACATCGCTATTAGTTAACATTTAAAACTTGTGGTGGCTTTTAACCATAATAAATCCGTCGCACAGTGGTTTTAAACTTTAGCAGCTGATTTTTATGTCATAGTGCACATACAAGTAGTTGACTTTTAGCACTTTTAAGCAAGAGGGAAAAAATGCGTATTTTTCTCTATATATTTGAATAATTATTCAGTTTGCATTCTTTACCATAAATATTTAGTTACCATAAATTAAATTTAATATTTTATTAATTTTGATAAAGTATATACAATATGCCAAATGTTAAAATCAATGTATAACTTGAAATACAATGCTGTATTTTATTAATTGTTACATGTAGAAGGAATTTGTAATCATCATTACAAGAAAAAGTGCTAATTTTATTATACTTTCCTTCATGACAGTGGATGCACTTTTGAAACCAGCTGAAATGAAGAAAAAATATTACAATTTAAATGACGGTAGTAACATTTAACATCGTTTGCTTGCCTCCTATATACACTGCCTCTTTAATACAATTACATCCTTTGTACATCATTTTTTTTTCCTTTATAGAGTCGTGCCGGTCATCTATCTAACACCTTTCGAGAGAAAATTTTTGATTTGAAATAACGTAACTTCCTGTTTACATCGAAAATATTTGTATAGTTAATCGGGGCCTCATACACCTACGGTTTCCATATCTAATCTCGTCTATGTTCATCTAACTCCATTCTCGAGATAAGGAAAGATTCTTCTATTTAAAACGTTACTGTGTCTAAACTAATTCTGAAAGTCAGGAAAAATTAAAATCGCTAAAGGAAATTGACTAAAATACAGTGGAATGAACAGGCAGTGTATATAAGAAGCAGTGAGTGAGTCGGTTCATACTTCGTGAGAAAAGATCACTAACGTGAGACACTTCGCACATTAGTAATGCCATAATTCCATTCTCTTGTATTTAGGGAAAAAAGTTGACAGAAGAAATATGTTTCTCTCTGTTGCTAGAGGATCCTACAATCCTTTGTATCTTTCTACATGGAAAATAAAATTGAAATGAGCTTAATTTATCATTTATACGTTTTAAGTGGTATGCTATTTAGAATCGATATTACACCAATGAATTTTAAAATAATGCCACTTGTTAAGTCATTGTTTTAGTAGCTCGAAACTTCAAAAAGTTCGTTGAGGTCACTTCATACATCGCATAGCATTCCTTGTAACTATACTGATATAGCCGGATGGGGTTGCTGTCGTTCCATTATAATTGTTTTGAATAATTACTAAGCGATGACACTATTTCTTTCAGTTCACTCTTTATTTTAATACCAACTGTAGTGATTAATCATGAAATCGTGCACTCTTCGCATGCCAAAGCGGATTTCGCTAGCTACTGTACAGGCCTTCGTGTAGCAAATTTTAGATTTAAAGTAAAAGCTTTGAAAGAGTACTAACTTTCTCAAAGCTTTAATAATGGTACTCTTCCATTCTCTCGAAGAATGAACCGGCCTTTATGTAGAACTATGATACTTACAGGTATCGACATCAGTAGTTCTATACGTTGTACTGGTATGCAGCTTCGGAGACGTTTCCGGTACCAAAGGTGTAGTCTGTTTCAGAGCACAGTTAAGAACTGAATCAGGTATTTCAGGAAACGATGTCATTTCTTAAGAAGTGGAGGTAAATTATTTTCTAAATTCGGAATTTTACCAGTAAAAATCTAAAATCTTACCGCATAAACTAAAATCGGGATCTTCTGTATCACATTTCTGAGCTTGAGGTGGACATAGCTCAGGTTTACAGCCTGGTTCTCCTTCTTCAAAAGGACTCTCGTTAAGAAGCTTTTTTCTATCACCACTGTAAACGATCGAACAGAAATTAAATTGATGGTCGTATGGTCAATACGTTCTGGTACTAACCTAACGATCTGGGCAACCGGAAATTGAATCCGAGTGAATAATTCCGTAAAATTTGTTCGTAGATGCACTGATATGTCATGTCCCGTCCATCATCACCCTTATTGTGCCTTATTGAGTTTGGTTACGGTTATTTGGGCGATCTACTGAAGGGGGATGCCTTTTTAGAAGACTTTTACGGGAAACTGACTTCTATTTAGATGTTGCGAACGTGAATAAAACCAGAAAACTTCACTCGTTCGCCAGGCACAAATCTACGACCAGTGTTCAGCGGTTTTTATCCACTCGGCTACTTGTATATCCTATATTATAAGCCTGCCCAATCTTAGAGAAAAAGCCGAAGCCCTGTTAGTACTCACAGGAATGAAAGATCTAGAATAATATATAGGCCCTATATATATTAACTGTCACGTATAACCGAATTTTAAAATTGCAATTAATACAATTTTTAATTTCTTTGTAGCCGATAGTTTTATCGTAAATATATTATATCAAAAGAACACAATAAATTCATTATTACTTAATCAATGATTGGAAAATACTAGAACTAAGGACCTTTTTAATCATATTCATTGTGGGTCGCGAAGTGGGCGATCGAATTATGACGAAGGGAGTCTAACTTATCCGATAAAGATCATCCCCGAAAAAATTCTTGTTGTTCCTTACCTGAATATGATTCTGGGCTCTCAGAGCGCTAAAATGACAACTTAACTGCTTGATTTCAACATTTAATACGAATTTATATTCAATTTATATACAATATTATATAATATATTTAAGGATTTTATAAGGATAATTGTATTTAAGGATTTTATTATCGAAATTATAAAATATTATAACTTACCCCGGATAAAAATAGCATGTAGTAACATTAAAATATCGACAATATACCAGCGAGCATCCAACGTAATAACTTTCAGCCCAAAATAACTGCAGTTTAATAAAAAAAAAAAACTTTATCAGAATCGTAACTTATATTTTCCTGAATTTAATATTAATTAATTTATTAAATTACAAATTATTTTCCTTACCGTCTTATAATATAAGCATCCCAATTTTTCGTAGTCGCAAGCGTTTCCAGTGTAATTATACGTCCACCTAGTGTTCCAATCATTAACTGCTTCTGCAAATATTCCTTTTCCTCTATCTAGATTTTGATTCATGAATTTTAAACAGTTAGGTGGACCGAGCATATCTGGACATCTTCTCCCTCGTTCTCCTGCGAATTTTGCCAATTTTTCATTCCACATCTAAAATGAATCCCCATTACATAAATTAAGATTTTAAAAAATTAGATATCACAGCATTTAAAATTAACTGTTATTAAATACAGATTGGAAAGGAAAAGTTAAATAAATAGAATTATATTCCACAAAAGTGAAGTTTTTTTTTTAAATAATGTATTTTAATTTTAATGCTACAATCAAATAAATCTCTGAACAATGGCCGCAGATGGGAACATAAAAAAATTGCCCATTGGTTGAAAGTTAATTGGATTGTGAATTTCAAAAAGAAACAACGTTTTCGTAAAACTAGTCGCCATTTAGAGTTAATCGTTGTTGGAAGGTGGACATTATTAGTGGTTCGATTGTATTAAAATTAACAACAACAGAATCTTTTAATTAATTTAGTTATAATCAATATATTAATGAAATCGTGTGATTAACTGATTTAGCATTTGCAAAATTTCAGTGTTGTATCCGCATTTTCTCTGCAATGGATCTGCTTTTGATCCGGGCTACAAACTCTATTTGTTTTTTTTAGTTACGGCAACGTAACAGTTGGACGATCTTCCTAGGGGGGATGCCTTCCGGGAGGTCCTTTAAAGGTAACTAGCCCCTTTTAGGCGTTAAAGACGTGGAGAAAACCCTGAAAACCCCACGTGGCCAGCCGTCCTGGAGAGTTGCAAACTCACTAGCGAACTACCAGTGTCCAAAGAACGAAACTGCACAGATCTTTAGAAGTTCTAAAGCAGTGATTCACAAATAATGAAGTCGCAAGAGTTGCCCGTGTGCCGCGAATATTAACAAGATATATATTAAAAACCAGAATAAACCCAATTGTATAAGATTTTTTTTTATATCCGTAATCAACTAGTAGCTAGGCTAAGCCTCAAGGAATACAGTTATTATTAAACACTAGAAATTCTCCCATCAAGCATGACGGAATATTTTTTATGAAAAAGTAGAAGTTGAAGAATTGAGAAGAGCTTTAAGTCGAGCTTGACTTTGTAATGCTGTTTCTGCAGCCCTTGACAAAGCCATTCTTACTCGATGTCGCTCAAGCAGTATCGGCTTGAGCGACAATGGCTTCCATATGTTGGAGCGAGGAGCTCCAACACAAAGAAGCAAGGAGCTTTAATTCTATTAATTTAACCCATTTGGTTTAAGGTCGATCCTATGCGACAACCATAACTTCTAATTATTTATCAGGAAATCAAAAAACATTTAACCAAAATCGGTATCAACGTCACGTCATCAGCAATAGAAATACCGTACACATTCATTCTAAATTCCAAAAATATAATTATTCTATTACCATAACAACAAGCGTTCTATTACTAAATGACCATACTTAAAATAAAAACTTATAAATAAATACATTCCATTTATAATTAAGCATATATTAAATATTTAAGAACTGTTTTTCGTAGAGTATATAAGATAGATAAAATTCTTAAATATTATAAGATATAATTTTTATAACTACAGTTCATTATATATCTACACAGTTTCCTATTTACTGTATACCGATAGGATTATAATAAATTTTATCGTACGATTTACGAAAAATAAAATACCAATTTTATCATTTTATGAGTTGTAGCAGGAGGATGTCTTCTGACATTATTTAGCATTCTCAGCATATCTTTTTTTTGGCTATCGCTCAAAGCTACGGGCTGCCTATCGTCAGGGGGATCAACTGTAGTAGTTTCGTCCGTATACTCATAATCATCTTCCGTAGAAGCTATGCATTTTTCATTCAAAAACAGAATTCCGAATAACACCAAAACCAATACGCTTCGAATCATTTTTTGTCCCTGTAATAAATGTAAAAGAATTTGGTAATTGAATTATAAATTTTTAAAGAAACAAAATTATTAGCACGTCTTGAATGTAAAATATGAATTAAATTAACAAGGTAATCCGAATAAAATTAACAATTTTCGGTGCTTATCCTTCTGAATTCCGAGTTAGAATAAATGGAATACAATTCAAATTCGAATTATTCGAAAAATAGAAAGCTATTTCGATATTTTGAAATGATTTTTTTAAAATGTTCGTTTGTGTAAAGCTAATTACTCTTGAACGAGGGTGACCACGTGAATGTAATGGCGCGTGTTAATTTAGAATTAATGGTTTTGTTCTAAGGTATTGGACCAAAACGGCACTTTGGTCGGCCACGTGTAATTTTACACGTCTTCTACACACTAATAACAATTAGTGTGAAGTTTCCGATGTAAATAAAGTTCTTCTGGTTAACAGATCGCTACGTGGCCAGCCCATTGTCAAGGCGCGAACCCATGACCGGTGTTCTACTACCGGTGTTTAATGGTATTATCTACTCGGTCACGTTGGGTGGATGACCACAAAGAGAAGACAAAAGTGCCAATCGTCGGCATTTAACGGTGATTTTTATACTTTGACAGCCGAATCTCATTATTTTACGTTTACAACTTTTCTCGGATGTTAAAATGAGTTAAAATGATTAAATTTTAAAAAGTACTACAATTTGCTTTAAATTAGTTTATAAAACACTACATACATCTGCACTGTCGACATTGTTTCGCACCAGTGAGATAAAATATTAGTGCAAAAAAACGCTAATTTGGAGATGTTGAGTGCACTGGTTTGGTTTATTTGATTAAAATAACATATAGGCTTATTTACAAAATTAAGTAATTATTATCTAAATCGATTCGACTGTTTGAATTTAAAAATAATACAATAGTACTTTACACCATATACAGTAATTACAGTTTAATATCTAATATCTGTGATTGTAGACGTTGCTCTCATCAATATATTAAGCAATGAATAAACAGGCGATCCGTAATACTGAGTTTCGTTTTATAATAACAAGTAATTTATCTAAATACGTTTTTAACTCTCGTGATATATCAATGTCACATACTTTAACATTTCACAGCGTAACAGTGTTCTTTTGACTTGGAAACGAAACGGGTACTTCGGTTCGCGTATTTACTAATTGTTTAATCCACTGATGAGAGTAATGTCTGCAGTAACAAGTGTTAAATTATCAATGTTGTTTCCGTGAATCTGTTATTATTATTTTCACAATGAAACAGGAATTAATTTGAATAATTTTTTTGTAATGTACACACACATCTTTACACACACTTCATACACATCGGTTATTTTAATATCTTTATCTGTTACGTTGTCACTGTTTTTTGGGTTAAAAACACTAAAACCTGTTCAAAACGGATGCCAAATTGTATATTAATTATACCTCATACAATTGAGTGATTTTTATTAGGTCAAACTTATATACAATAGCTTCGCATACGGAGCCATCGAGCGCATGTATGACACCCGGTGCCACTTTTGACCCATAGCAGGCCCAACTTTTACTACTTTGTTAAACAAATGAAATATATAGAATATATTTTTATTAGTAAAATTAACACTAATTTATAGGGTAGTAACCACTCAGAGCCTTCAAGTTTACTTTGGCTCAGAAAAAGTTCCTTTGTTTGCACAATTTGTATTGTGCAAGTAGAGTAACTTTCTCTGCAACTGTAGTAATTTTTTACTATAACGTGCTAATTATTCTTATTAACATTTTATGGTTAATTTGTTGTAAGAAATTTGTAACGAGTTCGCTAAACACGTTTGCTACGATGTTTTGTTCTTGTTCAACCTTGCTTCTATTTTATTATACAGAATTATTGTTTATATTTAATTATATACAGTAGAGCCTCGATTATCCGACTCAATTGGGGACTGGGGTTGGTCGGATAATTGAAAAGTCGGATAACCGAAAAGTATGAAAAAATCCATTATTAGTGTAGTATATTATTATATCCCATGTAATTAGTATATTAGTATATCGCTATTAACCTATTTTGCATTGAATTTTCATCAATGTTAAGCCTAACAAAAATTTTTTAAAATAATAATCGTCGCTATCGTATCGTTAAAAATTAGAAAATTAAGCCTCGTTTAAATACTGGCTCCCTTTCATGGTCGAATGAGTGTTGCCAGCTAAAACACGTAAAAATAATATTAAAGTAGCCGAGACATAGCCAAATATTGTAGCGCCACATCACAAGCGGACATTTGAAATTTGCCGACTAGGACGGTCGGTTAACCGAGGTGTCGGTTAATCAGGGGTCGGATAATCGAGGCTCTACTGTATTTCTATTGAAATTATAAATTATATAATTAGCTTATTTTTATAAAATATACATCTTGGAATTGATTTATTTAAAAAGTACACTTATTTAATTGTTACAACGAGAAGAAAGCCTGGAAAACTCCTTAAATTCTTAACCAGTCTTTTGGCGAGACGCGAGAAAAATGACAGATAAGACAAGTGAGAAAATGTTCCCGGAACAAAAGAATAAATCTCGATAACCTAATAATTCTTCGATAACAATTTGAAGATCCAATTAAAAAACAGAAGGACGAATGGGGTTTGTGCATAGGTCTCAGAGAGGAACCAAAATAAGAAAACTCTTCTATAGAGAGAAGAGCGCAGAATGCTTGTGCCTTATTTCTTCTGTCTTCCCGTGACTCTCGGTTCTTGTCGCTTCCATCATTCTTACCCAAATACCTCCAGTTCCAACCCAACTGAATTTACCATTCACCATGACACGAGTATTAATTAACCCCCGTCCACATTCAGAACTCTCTCTTGGTGAGAAATAAACGGTAGACGAGTTGTAAGATGTTACGCCTCGGCACGACACGCGTTGTAAGAAAAGTACATATAACTAACTGTTTGTGTAAAAAATATCTTGTTTCGGAAGATAAATTTGAAAGCCTCTCTATTGTCTCCCACTTTCTCTAATGGTTATTTGTTTCCATATACAAATTCTAGTCGTCACATCTCATTAAAACTCAGTGGTATCAGTCATCTTGACGTTAGAAACGATTATTTATCCAACCATGGTATAGTGAAGGGCCATACAATGGTTATGCTTACTTCTTGGGCACGAGGTATAGAAATAAAAAGAAAATTTGATCATTTATAGAAAGCTTATCTACAAGATCAAAAATGCTTGATAGAGACAGATCGACTCCACAGATTTCAACAGATTCTGTTCCAAACTATGAACCGATTGACCGATGGAACGATTGATGAGATCATCAGCTACGTAGAAGAAATCTATAAATATCGAAAGTCTATCATCTCGAATATTATGACTCCATTCTCTCAAATGTACAGTACTGGTACGAATTGAACTCATCGATCAACTTAAAGAACAACGTAGATAATTCGATCTTTGTCAATTATATTTTAAATTCTTATCGAAGCCAATTTTTTTTAAATGGAGCTTGCAAAGTATTTTACAATATGCGTATTGTGCTCTGTTAGCAAACATAAAGGATTCTTAATTTCTGTGAATGCCTTCGAGGAGATTTTTAAGGATCTTAGCAATTTACAATATAGCGGTTTTTCTAAGTTTGAAGAAAATATTATCTTAGGGTTTATTAATCAATTTAGAGAAATTCCGTCAGATTCTTCGAACATGAAGGAACTAGTAAGTGATATTCAAATTCATAATGTATTAGAAATCGTGTGAGTCTAGTAAGAACGAATGATTTTTTTTCCAGGTGTGGAGTGAAGATTTGGCAAAAATAGCTAAGGATTGGGGAGATAAATGTACCTTCGAATCCGATCCTAAAAGTTACCTACAAAATATCAGTCAGACTATATATTATGGAAACGAATTGTTTCCCTTAGGATTACAACAGTGGAGTGAAAAGATGATACAAGAGAGGAATCTATATGACTACGACACAAATGTTTGCAATGGATCCTGTGATAGATACAAAACGGTGAGTGCAAAGTCTTATAACAATTATTTTTCTTTCGTATTTATTTAATTCCTCTGTTTCGTTTAGTTAATATGGGCTGAAACTACTACAGTCGGTTGTTCCATATCCAAGTGTGAAAGAAACGGTTCTGTATCTGTTATCATTTGTAATTTTTATCCAGCGTAAGTTAGAATTTTAATTTATTATTCTAATTTAGAAATGATCATAATTTATCATTTTAAACGGAGTTTTCACAATAAAGCTTTTAGTATTTGTCGGACCGACGGATGAAGCGGCCCAACCATTATTGGGGCGCAGTAATGTTCATAAAACACCAAAAATTTTTAGGCGGTGGTCCGAATCAGATATGCGGGTCGCATTCCTCGCACTCGACGGGTCTTAGATAGTTTCTTTCTTTGGTTTTAAGTTCTAAATAATATAAGTAAATTGCTTTCAGTATTTTGGTTTATTTATGGTACGACAACGCGACAAGCGGGCGATCTGCCGAAGGGGGGTGCCTCTCGAAAAGATTTTTATGGAAACTGGCTCTTATTTAGGTGTTACAAACGTAAAGAAATACGGCAAAACTCCACGTGATCATCCCGTTGGACTGGCCTGAACCCTCAACCAACTGCCTGTATACAATGGTCTTGTACACTCGGCCACTAATGGGTCTTGAGTCACTCATAATGTAGAAGAAATGAAAATAATAAATTCGGTAATACCGGTAGTTACAATGCTTTATTACATTTTTTAAAACACTTTTCATCTTGTTGTCATTAATAGAACCTTTTTACCGTAACCATAGTGGATTCTGCTAGCCCTCAATGAAATGGAGTGATGGAATAAGGTAATGCAACATATAGGCGATCTGCAAACAAAAAGTCCCTCGTGAGATGACGTGTTCTGTTAAAAGTGATCCTTATATAGGAGAAGATACTGGAAAAACTCCACGTGATAAGTCCATTGGTCAGTCGAGAACCCACGACTAGCTAGCATTATTCAGTAATTTTATCCATATATATGAAGCCACTTTAACCGTTTCAGCCATCCAGCCTAAATGTAATATATTAGATATACATTCTAAAGGATGTTCGTAAAACCAATGGCAATTTTAATTAATTATATAGTTTATATGTTTTCCTTGATAATCTACTGATTTTCTCATCTGCTTTATAATGTTTGTGAGGTTTTTACTCAACTTATTGGGTTCGAGGGGAGCACAACAATGTGTATTTCTTCGTCTAAGATTACTAAGACCGCAAATTTTAACAGCATTCAGCTGTCCTTTAGAAACCTCGAAAATTCAGTTCTAAAAAACCACTAAGAAAATCTCACCCTCTCATCTGATGTTAATGTCTTTCCATAAAAGAAATAAAATAATCAACATTTTAGTGGTTTCATACTATCTGGAACATTTTAACTTAAGTATAAAGTCTAACTATAATTGAGTAATTATGTTCTACCGTATTTTGATATTAATAAAATCATAGACTAAATAAGAGAGATAGTACTTTATGTAGCATCATCAGTTTCAAATGAAAACACATTTGAATTTTTTCACATGAAATTCGAACATAAATGTTTAATTATTTTTTATTATTAATTAAGCATATATTATTTTTTATATAATAAAAATAAATTATATTTGCTTAATAATAGGGGGACGATGGGCCCGTTGTTCCCACTGTCGGTATGGAAAAACCCACAATGGATATCATTAGAAAGGTTATATTTGACTATTTGGCAGAAACAATTCAAATATGTATATATTTATTTATTCTATATAGGATAACAGATTTAAGTCAGAGGCCATACAAGAGAGGCAATCCTTGTGAAGAATGCGAGAATAAAGAGAAATGTCATTCCAAATTATGTGGTAAATTTTTATTTATAAACTTATGTTTGATTTTTAAATAATGTTTAATACGTTGATTTTTCTTTGTATTTGTAGTAACAAGGGATGTCCAAGTACCAAATGAAATTGCTTCATGTTCTGGAAGTAAATATTTTTTTATTGTTTTACGTTTAAAAATTATCTGAATGTATAATAATTTATTTATTTTCTAATTAGAATCAGGAACTAATGGAAACGTTGGCTACAAAATCTCATCTTACTTTTTTCTGTTGTTAATTATTGAAGCGTTACAAAATTACCCTATTATTGGACTTTCTTGATGCTTATACGTTGCTTGTATACTGTATTCATGGCTAAAGAAAGTAATACAAGCATTCATCATGTCCAAGTTAATTTCATTTTCAGTTATAGTCCAGCAACGACCGAGTGGATAGAAACACTAAACAATGGGTTCCCACATGAACAACGAACAGGCCGAACGGGGTTCTCCTGGTTTACTTTACATGTTATTAATTTAAATAAACACCAACTCCCATAAAAAGGCCAAATAAAGATTTCGTTGGTTTCTCCTATCAATCCAAGACGTTTTTAGTTATAAAAATTTTAACAATAGTAATTAAAAATCAATATTTAGAAGTACGAGTAAATGTTAATCATCAAAATGACTGAATATATTATTTAGAAACTTTGGAATTTTGGAACTATTACGATTAATCAAATGGGTCGGCCATGTTGAGTTTTAACGTGACTAATTGATTGCACAATATTCACTATTGAGCTATTGTTACAATAACTTGGAAATTAGTACAGTACGTGAAAACCAGAGTATAGCAAACTGGAATTATTTAGCCATAGAATTTGTCACAAATAATTAGAATTTTGTTTCCTATTTGTAAAAATTCGATACACATAATTCAATTGATGAAACCTGGCGATGTAACACTTGAGATATCTATCAAGTGTTACATCGCCAGGAAGACTTTTTATGAAAAATTGACCTTATATTAGACGCTAGACACGAAGAAAATCTGGAAAATTACATGAAGCCTGCTCGTTGGTCAGACTCACCCCCGCGACTAATTAATTAATTATTAATTAATTGTACAGTGTTTTTATCCACTTCGCCATTGCCATCAGCGTCTATATAACACGGTCATTTCGCTGATTCGTGACCTCATCAAGAGAAGATTGACCACTTTGTACAAACTTTTTAGTTTCATCTGGAATGAATAAAAAATATTAAATAATATGACAGAATTTTCAGTTAAAATGGTTAGCTTAATGTAAAAACTATGATATATTAAAAATTAAATGTGTGACATTACAAGTAATAAATTACATTGACATAATTTACAACATAAAAGACAATATATATGTAACAGCCGAGAAAGTTAAAATTAATATCTTAATTGTTAATTAAACAAATAATATTTACAAATCTCTTAAAAATGATTTCACATTAAAACATTTTTATTTAAATGTCTAATTTTTTGCATTTCAAATAATTTGTTCTTAATTTTCTTGCATATTCGGAACGATTTTCGAATAAAACATTCTATTTCATTCGAGCTTGTATTTAAATCTAAGCGTTAATATTGGTGTCTTGAATTATATTTAAATTTTTTAAACATGATACTGAAGTATTTCATATGTTTATTATGCATTTCCTGCATGGCCGAGGAATCATTTGACTCTAATAACTGTACGGAATTTCAGAGCGAAGATAAATTAAAGCAAAATTATAAAAATAGAAATACGGTAAATACTGGAACAGCACTGAAATTCATTAATGGTAACAGTGGATTTAGCAGATTCGAAGAGAATGATATTGTTTCGCTAATGAACATTTACAGAAATAATACGACTCCACCCGCTGCTGATCTGTATAGCTTGGTAAGTCTTTAACCATTAGGCTCGTATTTTCTCGAAAATTAACATAGAAAACAAAACTATCGATGAAGATTTACAATATTTGTTTCATTTTTCCAGGTATGGAGCGATGCTTTAGCAAAACTGGCAAAAAAGTGGGGAGATAGATGCGTAAATAAACAAGGACCCGATAAATGTCTCAATGTTATTGGACAGAATATATATGTGGGAAGCGGTGATTACAAAGATGCACTTAAAGAATGGTACATGGAAGAGAAAGATTACATTTACTCCACCACCGCATGCAAAAAACAATGTAAACACTATTTAGCGGTAAGAATAGTCGATTAACATTATTAAAACTCGTCGTAATAATGAATTTGTTTTAAGTAAATATCTATTATTTAGATGGTTTCGTCTAAAACATATTCTGTAGGATGTTCGAGATCTGACTGTAAACGGTCCGGGTTAAAAAATCTAATCGTTTGTAATTTTTATCCGGTGTAAGTATTGCTGAGATAATTTTAATGTACTTTTATAATTCTGTGTTTTATTCAGTCTTATAAATTCTTGCTATTTGTTTTAGCTGTTTCGCCCTGTGGGCACTAAGAGGGTGTTTATGTTTTTAGCATACGTTTTACGGGTTCGGTCTGGTCCATAATGTAGCTTCTAGGTGGTGCGAACGGGAACTGTCGTACAATCCCGAAAAATCCCTATTGTTATATCATCCATCTTAACCGTTCGGTCATTATGCCGTCTATTTTTTATTGTTAAAATATTTTTGGATGATATAACCCATTTTACTGCTTTGGGCCACCCAGGGATCGAATTCGACAGATCGAAAAACCGAAAGGAATTTTTGGAAAATGGTCCATCGGGATATGTCGAACCCCGTCAGTTACCAGCCGGGCGACTTATTATAAGCCTGTCCATAAAGATCTCACTGAAATAACCAACAACGAGTTGCGTAACTTTTCCGGCTATTATAAGATTTTATTTTGAAAATGGCCCACCAGTGGCCGAGTGGTCTTCGTACCCTAAACACTGGGAGTTCGGTCGTGGGTTCGCGCCGCGATCGGACAGGCTGACTGCTTGGAGTTTTCCGGGTTTTCTCCTTGCCAATAACGACTAAATAGGAGGCCAGTTCCCCATAAAAGTCCTCCCGGAAGGCATTAGTTCCCCTCGCGTAACATCGCGCCCCAGAGAAGGGAACGGGAAACCACTCTGGGTAGTAACTTTCCCTAGTATACACCTTGGCGGATTACAAACCTACGCCAGGTGTCGCCGACGTCAGGAATCTGATATGGCACCAAGAAGAAGATTTTGAAAATAACTGTTATATTTTTAATTTCAATATAATAAAATTGTGTGTGCTGCTATCGATTAGGATATTTTGTTATAAAACTTTTCTATATTTTTAACTATAATCGTATGGCAAAATGCTCAATTTTAATGGCAGTAATTACTTTTAAAAAATTAAACACTAATAAAGTGTTAGGCCTATATCTTCATTAAGTCGAGATATAACACACGATCATCCCCCATCTCTCCATTTCCTCGATTTTTCATCGCCAAAATTTAATAGCATCAATGTCTTCAATATTTGAAATTAAGATTATTTATAAAAATATATAACATTTTCGAGTCTATTTTTTAATCCTTTAACACAACCACCGAAGTAACAGTTATATTGGATTGAAGAAAAAGTTTATAAAACAAGACGAATAGGTTAAAAATTCACAAAGTCAAAAACGGTCAAACGTCAGCCTTTTATAAATTGGTGAAGGACTTGATAGTAAGGTGAGAAGATTTATTTTATGTTTTTAATGTAAAAGCGTCAGATCTTCGAATAAAAGGATCGTTTTTAACTGTGAATTTTTACCAATTATTATTCGTCTTGTTTTATGAAATTTATCTTCAAACCAATGTAACTGTTACTTCTGTGGTTGTGTTAAAGGATTAAAAGATAGGCTCGAAAATGTTATATATTTTTGTAAATAGTCTTAACTTCAAATATTGAAGAAAAATATATCCGGAATCATCATTGAAGCATCAATGCCCTTTATATGCAGTCTACCGTGCCAAATTTCGTTTCTTTATCTTCACCTCGTACTGAGATTTTAAGCGAAACAGACGGTAACACATACATATACACTAAATGTTTACCTGTTTTACTGATTGTTTTCGGATTTAGAAGTCTAAAAACATGGAGATTTGCAAAATACTCGGAGGTTCAAATTTGACACTATTTCAATACTTTTCCTTGTTACGTATACGTAACAGCCGAGAAAGCTAAAGGTCCTCTTAGTTGCCACAGGGCAGTCGAAATCAAGTTCTGGATGACTTCCCCACATCACATCATTTTTAAGAGAGAATTCCCTACTTGAATCAAAAATCAACTTGCATTATAGGCCTACATTTTAAGCTATTATTCTAAAGTATTTTAATAATTTTAAATATTTGAAAATACTTTCTAATTTCTTTTACGAAATTTCATGACAGTGGCGTATTTTTAAAAGTGAAACCCTTCTTGGAGGGACGGGCTTGCAGTAAATGCGCATCGGATGAGGGAAATGCTACTTGTTCTCATAATTTGTGTGGTTAGTATTCATAAATTAGACGTTATTTAAATATTTTATTAATTGTAAATTAAATAACAATTTTTTTACAGTGAAAAGTACTATTAAAATACCCGAAAAACATTTTCTTATATGCGGTAAGTTAATATAATAGTATTCATATAAATATACGGCATAAAAATATTTATTTAATATTCTTTCTGTATTTTAATTATTTTCTTTCCATATTTATTTCAATTTGAAGCTGGATTTAGAAACGAAAATGATATTGTAATAATAATTGCAGCTATAAGAGGATTAATATTTGTAATGTCGTTATAAGTTGAAGAGGAAAACAAGTTAATATAAAGACTAAAAACATTCATTTAATGTTTAATTATAAATAAATGTAATATTAAATTTAGGAACTAAATAAATAATTTGTTTTCTCATTGTAAAATATTCGTAGACTGTGTTTTTTTTAACTGTTAGGCCTATTTAATCGGGGCGTTTTTCCTTGTGCTTTTCATATCTGTTCTCATCGTTTATTTATCTAACTCCGTTCTCGAGATTAACGAAGGACAGACAGACATGTTAGGCTACAATTTTTTACAAATTGTAGTCCAACAACTCATGTTATTATTATCATCCGTAGCAAATCAGTAGACGAGTGGATAAGATGACTGAACATTAATTAGTCTAGGTTGGAATTTGACCAACGGAAAGGGTAAATAAAATTTTAATCCTTCACCTGTCTGATATCATATACAGGACAATTTTTGGTAAAGTGTCTTCCTGGGAATCAATCCTTTTTGGAAGATCACTCAACATTGTTTTGCTGCATTTCATTAATCCAATTATTTGTAACAAGCTTTTTAAATACTATATTAATTTCCTGTTCTCAGTGCCTGTTTTTTATGTAGTCTACTCATTTCTAAGTTATGGCCAAGCAGTTCCATTCCCTGAACACTGGGAGTTCGGTCGTAGGTTCGCGCCTCGCCAGGACAGGCTGGAACGTGGAGTTTTTCTAAACGTCTGTAACGACTGAACAGGGGCCAGTTACTTTTTTAGGACCTGTCGGAAAGCATTATTCCCCTGCTCTCACGAAAAGCCAAACAGTTAAAAACTTCGGGCGGATTATCGGATGCTGACGCTATCGTTCTTTATAGGAGAATATTGATAGCTTTTTAACTGAAATCTCCATCTAAACTTAACGAAAGAATAAGAAAAATTTCTAAGTTGTGAAATCAGATAAATTGTGCAATCGATTAATCATGTTGTAACTAAGCAAGACTGACTCAAATTATAAATAAAAAAGTTCCAAAATTATATAATTAATCTACTGTACTTTTTTTGGTGATTAATATTTACTCCTATATTTCTGAATAATGACAATTAATTATTATCGTTAAAATATTTATAACAGTCTGAATGATGGGAAAGAGTACAACGAAACTTAAAAGTTCTGCCTCCCTGGAAAATTTTTCTTGGTCTTCCTATCAGAACTGGTGTTCAACACGTGAAGAAAATCCGGAGAATTCCACGTTGACAATCGTTTGTCATGTGCTAACCCATGACAACTATCATTGTTTAATGATTTTATTCATTCGCTCATTGCTGGGCTGTAACTAAACATGAAGTGGTGGAATAATGATATTGCTTTCTTTAGCCATAAATAAGTTTTATTTAATATTTCAATGTTAAAATTTTTTATACAATTTTGAAACTAAATCATATAAAACACTTTGAAATATATAAACAAATTTTGAACTTTAAGAAGTTCCAGCGATGAAATAATTTTGTAATACTCCAATAATTAACAACAGAAAAAATTCAGATGAAATTCTGTGGGCAACGTTTCCTTCTATAAAAAATACATAAATTATCAAGCATTCCGATACTTTTTGAACATAAAATAATAAAAAAATATTTACTTTGTGCACATAAAGCAGTTTCTTTCGATACTTCGAAATTTTTTGGCACTTGCAAAGAATAAAACAGTGCATTAATAAAAACATTTAAAAAATCAAACATAAATTTATAATAAAAAATTTACCACATAAATTAAAATCACATTTATCCTTATTCTCGCATTCTTCACATGAATTGCCTTTCTTGTACGGCCTTTGACTTAAATCCTCTATTCTGTATAAAATAAAAATCATTGAATATTAAAAAAGTATATATTTTGGACTGTTTCCACTCCATGGACTAGCTGGTAAGACGATCTTTCTAATTATATCCATCCTAGATTTGTTCAAACTCACAATGGGGAGAGGCCGGGAGGTCAGAAACGTGACTTAACACGTCCCGAACAGATTGCCCATAAAAAAACTGCCAGGAAGTTGCTTCGAATTCGATTCCAGGTCTTTCACAGCAATAGAGTAGCGCATTAACCGTCTCATCTATCCGGAGGACTTATACGAAAACCTTTTTTTTTTTTTCATTGGATGGTCATCATTTCCCTATACAGGGATCAGTCACCCTTGTCCCGCAAATAGCACCACAAGGGGGAACGCTTTCTTTATTCATAAATCATAATTTACATTAAGTCAATTTAAACAATAAAAAGAAATAGGTAAAACATGTATAATCGCAATGCAGCTTGCCATTACAATTATTGCGGCCACTTGCCGCTTGATAGAGTGGGAGCAACTCGCTCCTCAACTCTTTGACAGTATACTTCGCGTGAAGTTCTTTAGATCTTGGATAATGTCCTTATTCCGGATCAGCATGTATAGATCTGTACAGTCTGTATTAAATGTCTGTGCAGCAACTAGGTGTAACTGCATCCTTTCATTTTCATACTTAATGCATGTTGTCAGTAGATGCTCAAGGCTCTCTATGTCATCTTCACAATCACAAATACTTTCCTGATCTTTCCCTATTCTATTCAAGTACTCTTTAGTGTTGCAGTGATTGGAGTAGAGTTGAGTCCTCAGAAAATCCACTGGCAGCCATTTAAGATCTTTTATTCTCTCCTCAATACTGGGTAGCAGCCAGTATGTGTAACGACCTTTCTCACTATACGTCCATCTCTCCTGCCATTCTTCTATGGTCTGCTGCCTTAGTTGCTTTTTGATGAAAGACAATGGGATTTTCCCATACGCAATCTCTGTGAATTCAATGGCACCCTTCGCCAGGGCATCCGCCCTCTCCATAATTCCTACATGGGCCTTAACCCATCTCACTTTAATGTTACTCTTGTTTTCCCTTATAAGTGTCTTTATTTCTATAGACAGCTGGCTGGTGACGAAAACCTTTAATATAAATGTGTTCTCCATCCAGTTTTACAGAGAAGATAACACCACCGAACACTAGTAGTTGGTTGGATGGATTTTCGGGGGTCGCCAACAGGCTGGACATTTCTAGTTTTCTATGGGTGAAACTGGCCGCTATTTAGATTCCTGGCACGTAAATAGCGGCTAGTTTTCCGAAGATTTTCCAATCTTGAGACATTATCTCTTGACGATCTGCTAAGAGATAACGTCTCACGATCATTTATACGTTGTCTTATACCATCGCTTCGATTCAAAATCCTTCCCATTTTATCTGAAAAGTTTTGGCGATAAACAGTTTTAATAATAATTTAATAATTATTAACTTATTATGGACATCTTTTTATATTTTCAAACAGAAGGTCAAAACAGTATCGTAATCACCTCTTTCAGTTTTATACTTTTAAAGGTAAAATACTCGAAAAATGTATAAATTTGTTCCGTATTTTAGCAAGTTCATATTTAGCATTACGTTCTTAAGATGTTTTATTAAATATATTATTCACATATTGTTCCTAATTTAAGCTTTCAAATTCAAAAATATGTCTAGATTACCTACTCTGGTCTAATCTAAAGTAGTTGAAAACGGCCCTCATCGGTATTTAGCGTAATATTTTTTAATATTAAGCACGTGTAATTTTTGAAATTTATAACATGAAAACTAAATTATATATGCTTAATGATAAGAGACGAATTTAAAATTTATACTCGAATTTCATCTAAAAATATTAAAATGTATTTTCGCCTGACATTGATTATGCTGCACAATGTCGACAATCTGGTCATATCTAGTCTATAATTTAATTTATATCAGAATATAATTATGCAATTGTAGTTAAAAGTTATAATTAAACTACAGTGTTCGAAACAGCTTGAAACTAAGTCTTTTAATTTTTACGTAGTGTTAAAGTTGCGAAGATAGCGTTTCTTAATTGTTGTTTAGATTTTGAATTTTGGGGGTTTCTGAAGACACAAGCGTGTGCTGTTAAAAATCTATAATCTTAATTACTTTAAGAGAAGAATTAGATTTTTGTGTTCTCTGTCGAACCCAATGGGTTGAGCAAAATCCTCACAAAAATAGTAAAGCGACTGAGAAAATAAGCAGATTATCAGGGCAGGATATAAAGATAATTTGTAAATAATAAATAAACTTCCGATTTGTTCCAGAATCTTCAAGTTATTGCATATCGAGTAGACGGTCGGGGATGTTAAGACGTCAGCCTACCGCTCTAGGAGACACGGGAATCGAATCCTGTATTTTCCAGCAATTTTTCGGAGGGTTGGCCGTCCCGAATATGTCAGGTCTCATCCTCCGATACCCGGCTGCCTTCATTATGAGTCTGGCTTAGTGTCAGGAATACGTATCTGGTACCCAGATACGCAGGACGCATTCCTGACACTCGACCACCCGATCACCCCACAGTAGCAGATAATGTCTTAACGCTTCGTCTATTGGGCCGGGAAAAAATGAAACCTTTATTGTGAACATTTCGTTTTAAATGATAAATTACACTCATTCTCACGTAAGAATAAAATATTAAAATTCCAACTTACGCTGGATAAAAATTACAAATAATGACATGCACAGAACCATTTTTTTTACACTCGGATAGGGAACAACCAACTGTAGTAGTTTCAGCCCATAGTAGCTGAAAGAAACAAAAGAATTAAATAAATATGAAAGAAAAATATTGTAATTATTACACGACTTTGTCCTCACCGTTTTGTATCTATCACAGGATCCATTACAAACATTTGTATCGTAGTCATATAAATCCTTCTCTCTGTACCACTGCATTAATGCATCTTGATAGACTTTACTTCCATAATATATATTCTGGCTGAAATGTTTAAGGCAACTTTTAGGGCCGGATTCAAATATACATTTATCGCCCCAATCCTTAGCTATTTTTGCCAAGTCGTCACTCCACACCTGAAAAAGTAACATTCATTCTTACAATACTCACCCGAATTCTAGTACATTATGAATTTCAATATCACTTACTAATTTATTCATATTAGAAGAACCTGGTTCAATAGTTTCTCTTAATAGATTAATGTGCCCTAAAATACTCTTTTCTTCTTGTTTAGAAAAATTAAGTTGTAAACTGCTATGATCTATAAAATACTCGGAGGCATTCACAGAAATGAAGAATCCTTCAAATTGGCCAATAGAGCAAAATAAACATATCATAAAATACTTTGAAAGCTTCATTTTTCTTTAATGCGAGTTTAAAATGAAATTGATAAACTTCGAATTTCCTAAATAGTTCTTCAAATTGAACGTGGAATTCAATTCGTACATTCGATAAAATAGAATCGCAATATTCAAATTTAGTCTTTCGATATTTAAACGTTCGTTCTACGTAACTGCTGATCTCATCGATCGTTCAATAGGTCGGTGTGTCGGGCGGTCCACAGTTTGTAGTAGAATCTATTGTAATCTGTAGATAGGTGGTCTCAATCAAGACTCTTGCGGGTTTAATTATCTAATTCTATAGATGATTAAATTAGCTCTTTCTCCTTACGTCTAAAAATTAAGTATAATTATTGTAGTGTCCTTCAATAACCGTTGTGTAACGTCTGGATGATTGAAACCAGTGAACTTTTATGAAATCTGACAACTGGTATTGCGTTTGTGAGGGTTAAAACAGTTAACAATTAACACTGTTTTTGTGGGGAAATGTATGGCTATTAGAGAAAGGTCTGAATTTCAAATTTCTCCTCCGAAACAAGATTTTTATTTATAGTACACCAAGGATTATATGTAATTTTCTTACATCGTGTCGTGCCCAACGTAAATATGTTTGTTACAAACATTTTAAATGAAATTATAAAAGTAAATATTTTAGTTTTAATCTGTAGTTTAAAAAAAATTAAATTAAACATAAACATTCAATTGTATTTGAAACATTTTATAACAAAATATCATAACAGATGGTGCCACACGCAATTTTATTTATTATACTTGATAATATAAAAGTTATTTTTTGAATGATATCTCGTAACAGCCGGGAAAGTTACGCAACTCGGAATTGCTGAAATTTTTTAATTTTTATCATTTTCTGCTCCGAGGACTTTTTTAATCATTATGGCTTTATTTAGGCACACGATGGCTATGGGTGAGAAGAAATGAGGTCTACATATCCGGACAGACCGCCGATGAAACATTCCTGGAATTGCATCCAGACTTCAAATTAATCATCCACAGAGCCTATTGAAATCTTCAGCAACTTCACTCTGATTGCGGACTTTCACCATCAAAGTAACTGGAGTTCGTTCTATCTCACTCAACATCATGTTTTACATATAAAAGAATAAACAAAGATGAATTAATATAACTCCTATGGTTTCAGATTTATGGATAGAACTTTGATTATAGCAAAACTTTATTGATATTAACTAAACCAGAAACCAAATGTATTATCAAATAAATGAAATACCTCTTAGTTTTAACATTCGAGTTATTACATTGGTGTTAAAAATAATTACTTTTTTAAATAAACAATACAATTTATTAGCTATTATGCAATGCCAGAAATGTGTAGATTTACTAAAGTAACGTGTGTAAATAGATCAAATTTTAATTTTGAAAAACTGATTAGATAAATTTATTTAATCTGAATATTAACCTTGGGTTAGTCGATAATTTCAATCAACTAATCTAGACTGCAAATAATAATTTAAAGTCTAGTTCAAGGATGGAAAACTTGCGCCCTTTTGTCGCCTCTTTTGTCTGCCTGATAAGATATTAAATGATAAAATTTCGTGCTAGCAAAAATAAACTTTACAGTTATAAAATTATGCTTTTTTAATCTATTTTTTTAAATAAAGGATTTATCCAAATAGAGTTTGTATTTAATTAATGTGTATATACTAAATGTATCAACATATGCAAGCTGTAATTCATCATGAGGTCTTTCTGAAATAGTATATGACCCCTGGTCTAATTGATTAATCAGACTAAAACTCGGTATTGTTAACAAAATTAATAATTATTGTTAACAAAATTATTTGAAGGCTGATTCCTAATTGGTCGTGGATTCACGCCTGACCAACAAGCGACTTTTCCGGGTTATTTTCACGTATCTGATACCTGAATAGTGACCAATTTCCCATAGAAATGATTTCATTAATTGGCATATCGCTGATATTTTGCGTTGTTTTATGTCACCAATCTAATCCAATCCTCTTAGTACCCAAAGGGCGGAGTAAAAAATAAGAAAAATAATTAAATAATCTTATCAGTCGAACTGAATTCTTATTCTGAATTAAACTTTGATCCATTTACTTTAGTAAATCTAGGCTTTTCCCACACTGTAAGTTGCCTTATATTTTTAACTTAATTTTTAAGTTAACTACGAGTATAATATACCTTAGTATTTAATTAAAAATTAATTAAACTTGCATTTTATTATTATTTTTTAAATATTAGAATAACATATTTTGTAGATTTACAAAAATGGTAAAGCACATGCGTGCCGCGATAATAGAAACATATGGAGGACCAGAAGTTTTTCAAATTCGCAATGACGTACCAATTCCAACTATAACTGACAAGCAAGTGAGAAATTTTAATGTTAATTTTTAATCTAATTTATTTTTCTTGAATATTTTGTGTAACGGTTAGACAGCCGAGTTTATCTCTCTGGGAACTCGGGCTCAAATTTCGGATTAACAATTCTCCAGAAATTTTTCATGGGCGATAAAACAGGATAAGTAGAGTCCGATCATTACTCAGCTGCCGTTTTGTGGGCCTTAAATCCCCCAGGACTGTAGGAAAAAAGTCATCTTAGTATCCACAGGACGTGAGGACTCAAAAACAGACAAAACAATTGACTTTCTGAAAAGAACTTTGGGATTAAAATTATTGTTTTAACATAAGATAACATCTCGTAGCTGTCTTATTTGCGATTGGAATACAGAGCTTCAAACTTTGATGCTCTGTATCAACAGGGTGCTTATCATACTTATCAACAGGGTGCTTCAGCCGAAATTGCTTATTTCACAGCATACAGAGCGTTAATTTTTAAGTATATTTATTCGTTTAACAATTAACAGAGCTTCAAACTTTGATGCTCTGTATCCCAATGAAAAGCTGAGCCCCTTAGATGTTCCACTGATAAGTGATAGGTACTTTACAAGACACTACAAAATTTCCATTTTCATGCTTCCTGGTGACATGTAGAACTATAACCTAAGTTTTAATGAAATGTTAAATAATGGAGTAGAGTGATGGAATAAAGTAATATAACACGTGGGAGATCTGTCTCCCAGAAGGATTTTCTATGGGAAACTGGCTCTATTTAGATGTTACAAAGGTGAAGAAAACTCGGAAAACTCCACTAGAATTCAGTGGTTTTTATCCAATCGGCCACTGTAGGTATGAAATGTTCAGGATTATTAAACAAATAAACTATTTTATAAATCGTTTATAAGGTCAATTTATCATTTGCTTAATTAACTGAATGAATTACAGATCATCAATTAGGCCTAAATCAGTCAAATTTGGTCGTTCACTCAAATTATCATTATTTCGATATTTAACTAAATAAGTTTTAACAAATTTACTTTGAACGGGTTTATTGGACTTACCAAATTACTGTACTGTACATGGCTAATTCCTAAGATTCTTAATTTTTACAAATATTTACTCTATTTTGGATAAATTTGCAAGAATTTTATATTATCTTGAATGCACTTTTTCAGGTTTTAGTGAAAGTTAAATATGCGGGTGTAAATCCAGTAGATACGTATCTTCGTGAAGGTGCAATGAATGATCTTGATTTTCCTCATATTCTTGGTAAAGATGCCGCTGGAATAATTGAAGCAGTAGGAAAAAATGTGAAAAGTTTAAAGGTAAACAATTCTCATTCGAAAAATTACATAAATATTTAATTTCAGAGTCGTGTATTAATCGAGTAGGTTGGAGATAGCGTATTTGTTTGTAAACTGTCCCAAAATACTCAAGGTACTTACGCTGATTACGTAGCAGTGGACGAAAAAGAAACTTTTCTACTTGGAAATCTTACTTATCAACAGGGTGCTTCAGCCGGAATTGCTTATTTCACAGCATACAGAGCGTTAATTTTTAAGTATATTTATTCGTTTAACAATTAAAATTCATTTTCGCCATTATTTCATTTATTTCAAATATTTTCAAATAAATTAAAATTAGAGCAAATGCTAAGAAAGGAGAAACTGTTCTTGTTCATGGTGCAAGTGGTGCAGTGGGTTTAGCAGCTATACAGATGTGTAAACATTATGGCATGACTACTATCGGTACTGCAGGAACTTCGGAAGGGATGAAATTAGTTCGAGAAAGTGGCGCCGATTACGTTTTTTCTCATAAAGATAAAAATTATATAGATGCAATAAAGGTAACTTCAGCGAAATTATTTTTTATCTTTAACTTACCGATTATTTTACTTTTTATTATTGCATTACAGCAAACAACTGGAAATACCGGAATAGATGTTATCTTAGAAATGTTATCGAATGTTAATTTAGGAAAGGATTTGGAAATTTTAGCTCCTCGAGGAAGAGTCATGGTAAAAATTTTATACTTAGTCATTTTTTATGAGCCCATCAGTAACCAACTGGACACTAGAAACAGATCGCAGGTTTGTCCTAAAGCGACAAGCTGGCCACAAATTTTCGTGTTTTCTTCACGCGTCTAACACCTACATAGGGCCAGTTTTTCCATAGAAAATCCTCCTGGGAGATACTACCTTCAAACGTTCCACAACCGTATTTCACCAATTCAATCCAATTTTTACAGAGAAAACAAGACATTTTATTTAATGTTAATAAAATAAATAGGTTTATTTTTATAAAATTAGGTAGCAAGTGAAGACTAAATTCGAAATTACAACGATCTTTCTTCTCACCGAAACATAAATCGCGATCAATAAATACAGTAGAATGTAAATTCATATTTACGAATTTACTTTCTATTGAATTTATCGTGAATAAAACGCGTAAAATCCACGTGGCCAGTCCGTTGGTGCGGTACAAACCCACGATCAATTAAGTGTTCAGTGTTTTCATCAACTTGGTGGACAAAATCCAAGTAAATATTATAGCTTTTTAAAAATTGAAAGACTAGAAAATTTTTCAGTCTGAGTTTGTGCATATTGAAGGAAATATCAATCTGTTATAAGCGAAATATCGTTGCCAAGATTCGTTATTTTAAAATATTAAAAACCAATAGAAATGATAAATGAACCGGCAAGATAGTTGATGCAGTTAATTAAGACGTCAGCTAAGATCTCTGACAGCAGATACGAGATGACGTCTTATGCAAATTTCGGAGTTCCGGGATCGAATTCGGGCCAACGTCTTAACTACAACGATCGATCCTGGATCGAACATTAACAGATAAAATCCATGAATCTCATCGACTATCAAGAGAAAAATACATCGGGTCATGTTCCTCTCAACCAGGCTTCTCCAGCCGAATCCACAAGATCTTTTTGTGTCCACATTACGAAGAAAAGTAATGCAATACGATGAATGACTTCACTTTCCATTAAATTTAAATTAATCTGATTACATTTAACAAATTTTGTGAAGAATAACTTTTCTAAAAACCATTTTTCAAGTTTAGAAAATACATTCAAATTGCCTGTTAATATGGGTTCGTATTAACTATCTAATATCTAATATAGATACAGTAACTTTCCATTGCAAATAACTAGTTTACGAAAAATTATTTTTAAAATTTTCTCTTCCTATGGACACTAAGACGATACTTTTAGGAAGTCCATCGTGGGTTCGGCTAGATCCATGATGTGTCGCCTAGGTGGCGAGGGATAGTGCCTGACATATCTGATCAAACTTCCCTCCGAAAATTGTTGGGATTTTCCGACCGTCTAAATTCGATTCCGGGTCCTCCAGAAAGGTCTTCTTAACTGCTCTGCCGGTCGTATAAGGAAAATGATTAAAAAAACTTATCAGATAAAAATATATTTGCTCACAATATCTCATAATCTTTATATATATACATATATTCATTACAGATCATCGGTTGCAGAGGAAATGTAACAATTAATCCCAGATTGATGATGGCTTCTGAAACTACAATTACTGGTGTATCGTTGCTTTCCACAACCGATGTAAATAATTTTCTAGAGTCAATTTTATTTATTATAAATTAGAATAATATAAAAGTTATTTTACAGGAAGAATGGCTTGAAGGCGCAATAAAAACCTGTTTCGGTTTTGCAGATGGATGGTTGAAACCAATTGTACACCGCGTTTATCCTTTACAAAATGTCGGTGATGCTCATCACGATATAATTTACTCAAAAGGAGCAAAAGGAAACTTAGTGATATCATTCGAATAAGGCTATTACGGCGAATTTACCCATCCGTTTACACCGAATACAATAAAATAATGAATGTTGTAATTTCAATGCAATGAATTACAAAGTAACCATTATCTTTATAAATCATTGCGTAAAGTACAAAATCTTTCAAAATGTATTCTTTCATTTAAAATTACTGTAATTATGTTAATTATTATTCGAGAAGTATGCAATGCAATGTATTGTACACCAATCAATATAGTAATTGTTCAAGTTTCATCTTCCATCTGAACTCAAACGTCTTGTTGTGTACTACTGTACTCTTAATCATAAGGGAAAGTATTGGAATCGTGTCAAATTTGGCACTATGAGTTTTTGAAAATTTCCTGTTTCGAGATCTGGACCAAAAAGACTGAAAAAAAAGTCCAAAAAATTTACTGAATGTTTGTTTGTTGGTGTTTATTTCGTTTAATATCTCAGGATGAGTCATGATTAATTAAGAAACGAAATTTGGCATGGAAGCTCGTCTATAGGGGGTATTAATACTATTAGATTTTGGTGGTTAAAGGTGAAGAGATAAGAGTTCATATGTCGTATCTCGAGAAGAGTCGAACTTAATGAAGATTTTACTTGTTAGTATTTACAACTTTTTTTTTTAAATAAACTTTTCTCAATCCTTAAAATTAAGCTTTATTCTATTTGTGTAATCTTATAATATAATCGAGATGGGTTCATGATAATAATAATAATAAGCGCAAAGCACAAACGGTTAGGAGTTGAAAGTTGAAATTTGGTACTCAGTTAGAATGACTGAGTACCAAATAGTCACGAGAATGTACACTAAGAAGGAATTTTTCGTAATCCCCCCGCAGGGAAGAGGGAAAAGTTTAAGGCTTATCCTAAAGAACTCAGCTTCTACTATACTACTTTAGATGCAATTTTTTTTTATTTTTAACTGCGTTTTAGTAGGGTACCACATCTATACAAGGAGATGGTAACTGCCTGTTTTCGTGCGTAGCGGATGTGGACGTGGGGATGAAAGAAGTGTATTCCTTAACAATGGAAGTGTTAAGAGAAAGCGACGTGCAAGATTTAATTTTCGCTATTGTTAATATTGCCCGAGCAACACCAGACTTATCTGCTAGTAATTAACAATATAAAAAATTTTTGTGATAAAATCTCACAACACACACAATTTACTCATTAATTGTTTATTTAATGTTAATAAAATAAATAGGTTTATTTTTATAAAATTAGGTAGCAAGTGAAGACTAAATTCGAAATTACAACGATCTTTCTTCTCACCGAAACATAAATCGCGATCAATAAATACAGTAGAATGTAAATTCATATTTACGAATTTACTTTCTATTGAATTTATCGTGAATAAAACGCGTAAAATCCACGTGGCCAGTCCGTTGGTGCGGTACAAACCCACGATCAATTAAGTGTTCAGTGTTTTCATCAACTTGGTGGACAAAATCCAAGTAAATATTATAGCTTTTTAAAAATTGAAAGACTAGAAAATTTTTCAGTCTGAGTTTGTGCATATTGAAGGAAATATCAATCTGTTATAAGCGAAATATCGTTGCCAAGATTCGTTATTTTAAAATATTAAAAACCAATAGAAATGATAAATGAACCGGCAAGATAGTTGATGCAGTTAATTAAGACGTCAGCTAAGATCTCTGACAGCAGATACGAGATGACGTCTTATGCAAATTTCGGAGTTCCGGGATCGAATTCGGGCCAACGTCTTAACTACAACGATCGATCCTGGATCGAACATTAACAGATAAAATCCATGAATCTCATCGACTATCAAGAGAAAAATACATCGGGTCATGTTCCTCTCAACCAAGCTTCTCCAGCCGAATCCACAAGATCTTTTTGTGTCCACATTACGAAGAAAAGTAATGCAATACGATGAATGACTTCACTTTCCATTAAATTTAAATTAATCTGATTACATTTAACNATCAAACAAAGTATGTGGCACCATCTGTTTATGAGATTTTGTTATAAAATGTTCAAATACAATTGAAGGTTTATGTTTATTAATTTTTTAAAAAAACTACAAATTAAATGTAAATATTTACTTTTATAACTGCACTTACAATGTCTGTAACATGAAAATATTTTTGGTATAAGATTACTATATCTGGTATTTCATACATATAGAAAATAAAATGTTCTTCTGTTGGTCTGTATGTTTCCTATGATAACATGAAAATATTTTTGATATAAGATTACTATATCTGGTATTTCATACATATAGAAAATAAAATGTTCTTCTGTTGGTCTGTATGTTTCCTATGAACTTCTACACATATTTTTCAGAGTTACTCTCTATGGCTCTAAGGAAACTATACGGGAAGATGCTTGTGCCCTTTTTCTTTTTATTTTTTAGATTAGTCCTCTTTGCCTACACCCTCCTACATTCAACTACCTCCACGATAAACTCCGCCAAGTCCACCACAATACGAATTTTTACTCTCGGTGAGAAATACTAAATATGCGGTCGTCAAGTTCTAAAATGTTATACATGGGGCACGACACGCGATGTAAAAAATTACATATAACCCTTAGTGTACCATCTTGTTTCAGAAGAAAAATTTGAACGTCAGACCTTTCTCTAATAGCCGCACATTTTCCTACAAAAACAGTGTTAATTGTTAACAATTTTAACCCCCACAAACGTGATACCAGTCGTCAAATCTCATAAAAATTCACTGGGGTGTCAATCATACAGGCGTTAGAAGACGGTTAGTAAAGGACTCTACAATAATTACACTTAATTTTCAGACGTAAGGAGAAAGAGCTAATTTAATCATCTATAGAATTATTACCTGCATGACTAAAAACTCTTGATTAAGACCACCAAATCAACAGATTACAATAAATTCTACTTCAAACTGTGGACCTATCGATTGAACGATCGATCAGATCATCAGTTACGTAGAAGAAACTTTCAAATATCTAAAGACTAATTTCGAATATTGTGATTCCATTTTCTGGAACGTACGAATTGAATTCTTTGAAGAACGATTTAAAAAATTCGAAGTTTATTAATTTCATTTTAATTTTCCATTAAAGAAAAATGAAGCTCGCAAAGTATCTTATAATATGTTTATTTTGTTCTATTGGCAAACTTGAAGGATTCTTCATTTCTGTGAATGCCTCTCAGTATTTTATAGAACATAGCAGTTTACTACTTAGTAACTTTACTAAAGAAGAAGAGAAGAATGTTTTAGGGCATATTAATCTACTAAGAGAGAATGTTGAACCAGGTTCTTCTAATATGAATGTATTAGTAAGTAATATTCATATTAATAGTATATTAGAATTCGAGTGAGTATTGTAAGAATGAATGTTACTTTTTCAGATGTGGAGTGACGACTTGGCAAAAATAGCTAAGGATTGGGGCGATAAATGTATATTTGAATCCGGCCCTAAAAGTTGCCTAAAACATTTCAGCCAGAATATATATTATGGAAGTAAGAGCCATCAAGAAGCATTAACACAATGGTATAGACAGAAGAATCTATATGACTACGATACAAATGTTTGTAATGGATTCTGCGATAGATATAAAACGGTGAGAGCAAAGTCTTGTAGTAATTATTTTTCTTTCGTATATATTTAATTCTTTTGTTTCTTTCAGGTAGTATGGGCTGAAACTACTACAGTTGGTTGTTCCCTATCCCATTGTAAAAAAGATGGTTCTGTGCATGTCATCATTTGTAATTTTTATCCAGCGTAAGTGTGGAATTTTAATATTTTATTCTTATGTGGGAATGAGTGTAATTTATTATTTTAAACGAAATTTTCACAATAAAGATTTCAGTATTCGTTGTCCCCATGGACAACATGGTCCCCATGGAAGTTAACGCTTCGTTAACTTCTTCAGCCATCTACTAGAGATCCAAAATGTTGAAAATCTGGAACCAATCGGAAGTTTATTTATTATTTACAATTTATCTTTATGTGTTTCCTTAACAATGTACAGTACTTATTTTCTGAATCGCTTTACTATATTTGTGAGGATTTTTCTCAACCCATTGGGTTCGATAGAGAGCACAAACATTTCTTCTCTTAAAGTAACTAAGATTATAAATTTTTAACAGCATACACTTGTGCCTTCAGAAACCTCCAAAATTCAAAATCTAAACGACTATTAACAAACACTGTTTCGCACATTAATGTTAATGCCTTTTAATTTTTAATTAGAAGAGAGGAAATAAATTTTCATTAGTTTCAAGCTGTTTCGAACACTGTAATTTACTTATAACTTTTAACTACAATTACATAATTATATTCTGATATAAATTAAATTACAGACTAGATATGACAAAACTGTCGACATTACGCAGCATAATCAATGTCATCAATGCCAGGCGAAAATACATTTCAATATTTATACATGATATTCGAGAATAAATTTTAAATTCGTTTCTTATTATTATGTATACTGTATATAATTTAGTTTTCATGTTAAAAATTCCCAAAATTATACGTGCTTAATGTTAAAAAATTATTTCGCCAAATACCGGTGAGAGTTGTTTTCGACTACTTTAGACTAGACCAGAGTAGGTAATCTAGACATATTTCTGAATTAAAAAGCTCAAATTAGGAACAATATGTGAATAATATAATAAAACATCTTAGAAACTTAATGCTAAATATGAACTTGCTACAATACGGCTAAAATATTAAGTGCTTGGTACCTAAATAGCGGCCAGATTCTCATAGAAAAATAGAAATGGCCAGCTTGTTGGCGATCCCCGAAAATCCATCCAACCAACTACCAGTGTTCGGTGGTGTTATCTTCTCTGTAAAACTGGATGGAGAACACATTTATATTAAAGGTTTTCATATAAGTCCTCCGGATGGATGAGACGGTTAATGCGCTACTCTATTGCTGTGAAAGACCTGGAATCGAATTCGAAAAGTGATATTGAAATTCATAATGTACTAGAATTCGGGTGAGTATTGTAAGAATGAATGTTACTTTTTCAGGTGTGGAGTGACGACTTGGCAAAAATAGCTAAGGATTGGGGCGATAAATGTATATTTGAATCCGGCCCTAAAAGTTGCCTAAAACATTTCAGCCAGAATATATATTATGGAAGTAAGAGCCATCAAGAAGCATTAACACAATGGTATAGACAGAAGAATCTATATGACTACGATACAAATGTTTGTAATGGATTCTGCGATAGATATAAAACGGTGAGAGCAAAGTCTTGTAGTAATTATTTTTCTTTCGTATATATTTAATTCTTTTGTTTCTTTCAGGTAGTATGGGCTGAAACTACTACAGTTGGTTGTTCCCTATCCCATTGTAAAAAAGATGGTTCTGTGCATGTCATCATTTGTAATTTTTATCCAGCGTAAGTGTGGAATTTTAATATTTTATTCTTATGTGGGAATGAGTGTAATTTATTATTTTAAACGAAATTTTCACAATAAAGATTTCAGTATTCGTTGTCCCCATGGACAACATGGTTCCCATGGAAGTTAACGCTTCGTTAACTTCTTCAGCCATCTACTAGAGATTCAAAATGTTGAAAATCTGGAACCAATCGGAAGTTTATTTATTATTTACAATTTATCTTTATGTGTTTCCTTAACAATGTACAGTACTTATTTTCTGAATCGCTTTACTATATTTGTGAGGATTTTTCTCAACCCATTGGGTTCGATAGAGAGCACAAACATTTCTTCTCTTAAAGTAACTAAGATTATAAATTTTTAACAGCATACACTTGTGCCTTCAGAAACCTCCAAAATTCAAAATCTAAACGACTATTAACAAACACTGTCTCGCACATTAATGTTAATGCCTTTTAATTTTTAATTAGAAGAGAGGAAATAAATTTTCATTAGTTTCAAGCTGTTTCGAACACTGTAATTTACTTATAACTTTTAACTACAATTACATAATTATATTCTGATATAAATTAAATTACAGACTAGATATGACAAAACTGTCGACATTACGCAGCATAATCAATGTCATCAATGCCAGGCGAAAATACATTTCAATATTTATACATGATATTCGAGAATAAATTTTAAATTCGTTTCTTATTATTATGTATACTGTATATAATTTAGTTTTCATGTTAAAAATTCCCAAAATTATACGTGCTTAATGTTAAAAAATTATTTCGCCAAATACCGGTGAGAGTTGTTTTCGACTACTTTAGACTAGACCAGAGTAGGTAATCTAGACATATTTCTGAATTAAAAAGCTCAAATTAGGAACAATATGTGAATAATATAATAAAACATCTTAGAAACTTAATGCTAAATATGAACTTGCTACAATACGGCTAAAATATTAAGTGCTTGGTACCTAAATAGCGGCCAGATTCTCATAGAAAAATAGAAATGGCCAGCTTGTTGGCGATCCCCGAAAATCCATCCAACCAACTACCAGTGTTCGGTGGTGTTATCTTCTCTGTAAAACTGGATGGAGAACACATTTATATTAAAGGTTTTCATATAAGTCCTCCGGATGGATGAGACGGTTAATGCGCTACTCTATTGCTGTGAAAGACCTGGAATCGAATTCGAAGCAACTTCCTAGCAGTTTTTTATGGGCAATCTGTTCGGGACGTGTTAAGTCCCGTTTCTGACCTCCCGGCCGCCTCCATTGTGAGTTTGAACAAATCTAGGATGGATATAATTAGAAAGATCGTCTTACCAGCTAGTCAATGGAGTGGAAACAGTCCAAAATATGTACTTTTTTAATATTTAATAATTTTTATTTTATACAGAATAGAGGATTTAAGTCAGAGGCCGTACAAGAAAGGCAATTCATGTGAAGAATGCGAGAATAAGGATAAATGTGATTTTAATTTATGTGGTAAATTTTTTATTATAAATTTATGTTTGATTTTTTAAATGTTTTTATTAATGCACTGTTTTATTCTTTGCAAGTGCCAAAAAATTTCGAAATATCGAATGAAACTGCTTTTTGTACACAAAGTAAATATATTTTTTAATTGTTTTATGTTCAAAAAGTATCCGAATGTTTGATAATTTATTTATTTATTTTGTTTAGGCGTAGGCCTACAATCAGAAAGTGAAGAAAACATTGCCCACAGAATTTCATCTGAATTTTTTCTGTTGTTAATTATTGGAGTATTACAAAATTATTTCTTCGTTGGAACACCTTAATGTTCAAACTTTGTTACTTTCGAGTGATTTATATGATTCATTTTCAAAATTGTATAAAAAATTTTAATATTGAAATATTAAATAAAACTTATTTATGGCTAAAAAAAGCAATACCAACATTCCACCACTTTATGTTTAGTTTCAGCCAAAGCAATGTTCGAATGAATAAAATCATTTAACAATGATAGTTGGACGTGTGTTAGCACATGACCAACGGCTGGCCACATGGAATTCTTTGGAATTTCTTTACGTGTTGTACATCAGCTCCCATAGAAAGACCCAAGGAAATTTTTCCACGGAGGCATAACTCTCAAGTTTTGCGGTACTTACTCCCGTCATTCGGACTCTTTAAAAACATTTTAACGATAATAATTAATTGTCATTATTCAGAAATATAGCAGTAAATATTAATCACCAAAAAAAGTAGATTAATTATATAATTTTGAAATTTTTTAAATTACGATTTGAGTGAGTCATATTCAGTTACAACGTGACTAATGGATGGTGCAATTTATCTTATTTTACAATAACTTAGAAATTAGTACATGAAAAACAGGTATTGAAAACAGGAAATTAATTACAAGTAGAATTTAAGAAATTGGATTGATGGGATGTGGCAAAGCAATGTTCAGTGATCTTCCAAGAAGGATTGACTCCCAGGAAGACACTTTACCAAAAATTGTCCTGTATTTAGATTATCAGACAGGTGAAGAAAACCTGTAAAATTGTATTTAGCCTTCTCGTTGGTCATACGCCAACCCAGACTAGTGTTCAGTCATCTTATCCACTCATCTACTGATTTGCTACGGATGATGATGATAACATGAGTTGTTGAACTACAATTTGTAAAAAATTGTGTCCTAACATGTCTGTCTGTCCTTCCTTAATCTCCAGAACGGAGTTAGATAAATAAACGATGAGAACAGATATGGAAAGCTCACGGAAAAATGCCCCGATTAAGTAACTGTTAAAAAAAACACAGTCTACGAATATTTTACAATGAGAAAACAAATTATTTATTTAGTTCCTAAATTTAATATTACATTTATTTATAATTAAACATTAAATGAATGTTTTTAGTCTTTATATTAACTTGTTTTCCTCTTCAACTTATAACGACATTACAAATATTAATCCTCTTATAGCTGCAATTATTATTACAATATCATTTTCGTTTCTAAATCCAGCTTCAAATTGAAATAAATATGGAAAGAAAATAATTAAAATACAGAAAGAATATTAAATAAATATTTTTATGCCGTATGATTTATATTAAAACTATTATATTAACTTACCGCATATAAGAAAATGTTTTTCGGGTATTTTAATATTACTTTTAACTGTAAAAATTTTTATTTAACTTATAATTAATAGAATATTTAAATAACATCTAATTTATGAATACTAACCACACAAATTATGAGAACAAGAAGCATTTCCCTCATCCGATGCGCATTTACTGCAAGCCCGTCCCTCCAGGAAGGGTTTCACTTTTAAAAATACGCCACTGTTATGAAATTTCGTAAAAGAAATTAGAAAGTATTTTCAAATATTTAAAATTGTTAAAATACTTTAGAATAATAGATTTTTGATTCAAATAGGAAATTCTCTCTATTAAAAATGATGTCTTGTAGGGAAGTCATCCAGAATTTGATTTAGACTGCCCTGTGGCAACTAAGAGGATCTACAGCTTTCCGGTTGTTATGTATACATAACGAGGGAAAGTATTGGAATCATATCAAATTTGAACCTCGGAGTATTTTGCAAATCTCCATGTTTTTAGACTTGTAAACCCCAAAAAAATCAGAAAAACGGGAAAAAAAATTCCGTGGGTATGTTTGTCGCTATGTGTGTGTATCGCTGTCTATTTTGCTTTATATCTCGGGTGGGTCTAAAGATGAAGTAACGAAATTGGATGCGGCAGTTTATATTTAAGGGACATTGAAGCTGTTAAATTTTGGCGATGAAATATCAAGGGAATGGAGAGATACAAGGGATCGTGTGTCATGTGTCGACTTAATGAAAATGTTATACATTATTAGCATTTAATTTTTTTTAAATAATTACGGCCATTAAAATTGAGCATTTTGATAATAGTTAAAAATACAGAAAATTTTCATAAAATATCATAACACATAACACCACACACAATTTTATTATATTGTAATTAAAAATATGACGGTTATTTTCAAAATAAAATCTTATAATAGCCGGAAAAGTTACGCAACTCGTTGTTGGTTATTTTAGTAAAAACTTTACGGACAGGCTTATCATAAGGCGCCCGGCTATTCAGGAACGTGATTCGACATATCCCGATGGATCATTTCTCTAAAATTCCTTTCGGTTTTCCGATCTGTCGAATTCGATCCCTGGGTGGCCCACAGCAGTAAAATGGGTTATATCATCCATAAGTATTTTAACAATAAAAATAGACTGGATAATGATCGAACGGTTAAGATGGATAAAATAACAACAGGGATTTTTCGAAATTGTACGACAGTTCCCGTTCCCACCACCTGGTAGCTCCTTTATGGGCCGGGCCGAACCCGTGAAACGTATGCTAAAAACATAAACACCCTCTTAGCGCCCACAGGGCAAAACAGCTAAAACAAATAGCAATAATTTATAAGATTGCATAAAACACAGAATTATAAAAGTACATTAAAATTATCTCAGCAATACTTACACCGGATAGAAATTACAAACGATTAGATTCTTTAACCCGGACCGTTTACAGTCAGACCTCGAACATCCTACAGAATATGTTTTAGACGAAACCATCTAAATAATAGATATTTACTTAAAACAAATTCATTATTACGACGAGTTTTAATAATGTTAATCGACTATTCTTACCGCTAAATAGTGTTTACATTGTTTTCTACATGCGGTGGTGGAGTAAATATAATCTTTCTCTTCCACGTACCATTCTTCAAGTGCATCTTTGTAATCACCGCTTCCCACATATATATTCTGTCCAATAACATTGAGACATTTATCGGGTCCTTGTTTATTAACGCATCTATCTCCCCACTTTCTTGCCAGTTTTGCTAAAGCATCGCTCCATACCTGGAAAAATGAAACAAATATTGTAAATCTTCATCGATAGTTTCCTTTTCTATGTTAATTTTCGAGAAAATACGAGCCTAATGGTTAAAGACTTACCAAGCTATACAGATCAGCAGCGGGGGGAGTCGTATTATTTCTGTAAATGTTCATTAGCGAAACAATATCATTCTCTTCGAATCTGCTAAATCCACTGTTACCATTAATGAATTTCAGTGCTGTTCCAGTATTTACCGTATTTCTACTTTTATAATTTTGCTTTAATTTAACTTCGCTCTGAAATTCCGTACAGTTATTAGAGTCAAATGATTCCTCGGCCATGCAGGAAATGCATAATAAACATATGAAATACTTCAGTATCATGTTTAAAAGATTTAAATATAATTCAAAACACCGATATTCACGCTTAGATTTAAATACAAACTGGAACGAAATAGAATGTCCTATTCGAAAATCGTTCCGAATATGCAAGAAAATTAAGAACAAATTATTTGAAATGCAAAAAATTAGACATTTAAATAAAAATGTTTTAATGTGAAATCATTTTTAAGAAATTTGTAAATATTATTTGTTTAATTAACAATTAAGATATTAATTTTAACTTTCTCGGCTGTTATACAGTATATGTGTTGTGTTTTATGTTATAACTTATGTCAATGTAATTTATACCTTGTAATGTCACACATTTAATTTTTAATATATCAAAATTCTTACATTAAGCTAACCATTTTAACTGAAAATTCTGTCATATTATTTAATATTTTTTATTCATTCCAGATGAAACAAAAAAGTTTGTACAAAAGTAGTCAATCTTCTCTTGATGAGGTCTGGAATCAGCGAAATGGCCGTGTTATATAAATGGCAATGTCAAAGTACATAAAAGCACTGAACAATTAATTAATTAGTCGCAGAATTTTCTACGTTTTCTTTGTGTCTGGCCTCTAATATGAGCCATTTTTTCATAAAAAGTTTTTTCGGGAGATAATCCTTCTTGGTAGATCGCTTAAGTGTTTCATCGCCACGTTCCATTAATTGAATTATTTGTATCGAATTTCTACAAATAGGAAACAAAATTCCAATTATTTGTGACAAATACTATGGCTAAATAATTCCGGTTTGCTATACTCTGGTTTTCACGTACTAATTTCCAAGTTATTGTAACAATAGGTCAATATTGTGCAATCGATTAGTCACGTTAAAACTAAACGTGTCCGACCCATTTTATTAATCATAATAGTTCCAAAATTCCAGTTTCAAAATAATATATTCAGTCATTTTGATGATTAACATTTACTCGTACTTCTAAATATTGATTTTTAATTACTATTGTTAAAATTTTTATAACTAAAAACGTCTTGGATTGATGGGAGAAACCAACGAAATCTTTATTTGGCCTTTATATGGGAGCTGGTGTTTATTTAAGACGTAAAGTAAACCAGGAGAACCCCGTTCGTTCGGCCTGTTCGTTGGTCATGTGTGCACCCATTGTTTAGTGTTTCTATCCACTCAGTCATTGCTGGACCAAAACTGAAAATGAAATTAACTTGGACATGATGAATGCTTGTATTACTTTCTTTAGCCATGAATACAGTATACAAGCAACGTATAAGCATTAAGAAAGTCCAATAATAGGGTAATTTTGTAACGCTTCAATAATTAACAACAGAAAAAAGTAAGATGAGATTTTGTAGCCAACGTTTCCATTAGTTCCTGATTCTAATTAGAAAATAAATAAATTATTATACATTCAGATAATTTTTAAACGTAAAACAATAAAAAAATATTTACTTCCAGAACATGAAGCAATTTCATTTGGTACTTGGACATCCCTTGTTACTACAAATACAAAGAAAAATCAACGTATTAAACATTATTTAAAAATCAAACATAAGTTTATAAATAAAAATTTACCACATAATTTGGAATGACATTTCTCTTTATTCTCGCATTCTTCACAAGGATTGCCTCTCTTGTATGGCCTCTGACTTAAATCTGCTATCCTATATATGATAATAAAAAAATATATATAGGCCTATATATATAAATTGTTTCTGCCAAATGGGCAAATTTAATTTCTGTCGGTTTATGAGTTATTTATCTTGTGCTCCTCTCGAACTCAATAAGTTCGAGAGGAGCACAAGAATATGCATTTCTTCGTCTAAGGTTACTAAGACCGCAAATTTTAACAGCATTCACATGTGCTTTAGAAACTTCAAAAATACAAAGCTCTAAAAAAACCATTAAGAAACACTATCTCACACTTTCATCTAATGTTAATGTCTTTCCATAAAAGAAATAAAATAATCAACATTTTAGTGGTTCCATACTGTCTGGAACACAGTAACTTAAGTATAAAGTCTATCATTGTGTAATTATGTTCTACCGTGTTTTGATATTAATAAAATCATAGACTATATAAGAGAGATAGTACAGTACTTTATGCAGCCCCATCAGTGTCAAACGAAAACACATTTGAATTTTTTCACATGAAATTCGAACATAAATGTTTAATTATTTTTTATTATTAAGCATATATAATTAATTTTTATTACATAAAAATAAATTTTATATGCTTAATAATAGGGGGACAATGGGCCCGTTGTTCTCACAGTCGGTATAGAAAAACCACAATGGATATCATTAGAAAGGTTAATTTATATCTGATTCGGACCACCGTCTAAAAATTTCTGGTGTTTTTTGAACATTACTGCGCTCCCATAGTGGTTGGACCGCTTCATCCGTCGGTCCGACGAATACTAAAAGCTTTATTGTGAAAACTCCGTTTAAAATGATAAATTATAATCATTTCTAAATTAGAATAATAAATTAAAATTCTAACTTACGCTGGATAAAAATTACAAATAATAACAGATACAGAACCGTTTCTTTCACACTTGGATGTCGAACAACCGACTGTAGTAGTTTCAGCCCAAATTAACTGAACGAAACAGAAGATTAAAAAAAAATAAATAAATATGAAAGAAAAATAATTGTTATAAGACTTTGCACTCACCGTTTTGTATCTATCACAGGATCCATTGCAAACATTTGTGTCGTAATCATACAGAATCACCTCTTCACTCCACTGTCTCAATACATTAAAAATCAGTTCGTTTCCATAATATATAGTCTGACTGATACTTTGTAGACAACTTTTAGGACCGGATTCAAAGGTACATTTATCGCCCCAATCCTTAGCTATTTTTGCCAAATCTTCCCTCCACACCTAAAAAAAATAAATAAATAACATTCGTTCTTATTGTACTCACACGATTTCTAATACACTATGAATTTGAATATCACTTACTAGTTCCTTCATGTTCGAAGAATCTGGCGGATTTCTTCTAACTGTATTAATAGCCTGTAAGATTGTACTTTCTTCAGCCTTAGAAAAACCGCTAAGCTTATATCGTGAATAGATAAGATTCTTAAACTCGAAGGCATTCACAGAAATTAAGAATCCTTTATATTTGCCAACAGCGCACAATACACATATTGTAAAATACTTTGCAAGCTTCATTTTTCTATAAAATTGGTTTCGGTGAAAATTTAAAATGAAATTGATAAAGATCCAATTTTCTACGTCGTTCTTTAAGTTGATCGATGAATTCAATTCGTACCAGTACTGTACATTTGAGAGAATAGAGTCATAATATTCCAGATGATAGACTTTCGATATTTATAAATTTCTTCTACGTAGCTAATGATCTCATCGATCGTTCCATCGGTCAATCGGTCGGTTCATAGTTTGGAACAGAATCTGTTGTAATCTGTGGAGTCGTTCTGCCTCTATCAAACATTTTTGTCTTGTAGATAAGCTTTCTATAAATGATCAAATTTCTTTTTATTTCTATACCTCGCGCCCAAGAACTAAGCACAACCGTCTGTCTTGGGACTGGGCAAAGCTAAGTATCCATATGCGGTCTCACTGGCCTGGGTCATTTCGTATCAAGACTGTTTCCGGGCTAATACATAAAAAGTGTCTGTTTTAAATTTCGATGGACTTCGGATTCGATTTGTCTATTCTGCGATTGATGAAAGAGTATCTGTTTAACTAATTAGCCTATATCGCAACGAATACGGTGGATTTTATAATCGGAACCTGCAACGCATTGGCCTCGATTCCATTCCATTAGTAATGGCAGAGGGACGTCATTTCCTCCGTACCATTCGGTTGGCAGTCGTGAGGTTGTGAAAAGCATTGCAGAGAATTCGGATAGGTATGTGCATTTCCTACTTCGATATTCCCTCGTTCCGTGGGCTGTCCTGTTCGTTTATTCTGAATATTCTCTTTGCGCACTAGTTTTCGATACTGACAATGTCCGATTATCTAACCGTTTTCCTAAAGTTTTAAACTGTTAAAAGTTTTAAAATTTAAAAGTTTTACATTTTTTAAAAAAATAATGAATTTTGATAAATGTTTTCTGGCAACATCCGCTCTCTTCAACATCATCCGATTTCTCTCTCTCTCTCTCTCTCGTTTATATGGAATCATCCGATTTTAATTCTCCTATTGGTTAAATACATCACGTGACATAGAATGCAGTATCAAGCGATTGGACGATAGCCGTTCTCTTATTTGTCGTTTGGTATTCGAAGTAAAAGACGCGGTAGGATCGACTAATAAAGTCAGAACTTATTTAACGTTAAATATGTCACAGATAATTTCAATCGTTTTGTGGTCACGTAACGCGATTTTATCCATAAAGTAGCAGATGAACTCGGCGTTGCTCTGTCAATTAAGTTAGCAACGGTTGCGACCGCCGCCATGACGGTGCACGTGGTAAGCTTTCATCTTAAGTTAATTTGGTAAAAATACATTTTAATTTTTTTTTATTTACTTATCCGTGTGTTCTTTATTTACTTATCTTACCTCTTCTGATGATAAAATGAGAAATAAAATTATTTTTTATACAAAGTATAAATTCCCGCCTTTTTCCTTTGGCGCCAAAACAGATCTGACGTTTACGATCGAGATCTGTTTAGATCCAATCGCTTCGACCTGACGAGGACTGTAGTGCCCGACGACCACAGCCTACACTAGCTTTTTTAGAACCCACATTTCTGGTTGTTACCCCTGTTTTGGTTAGAGGTTTTGTTTTACTTGTCCTGACTGACTGACTAATCGATTCATTGCCGCCCAGAGCAAACCGCTTAACCTAGAGAGGTGAAATTTGGTAGACAGTTAGGGTACGTCGTGAAAATGCACGTTAAGAAGGGATTTTTCAAAATTCTCCCGCGGGGGGAGAGGGAGAGCATTAAGGCTTAACCGGAAAAACGGCTTCTACTGTATTATTTTAGATGCGATTTTTTTGTTTTCAACTATGTTTAGTCTTCATTGAGTACTTAGGTGTATTGAATTGATAACATTTCAGACATTGTTATGAATATTTTTATATATTTCGATGTTTTAACCAAATGTTCGAACCGTTTTAAATTCGAATTTGTTATTGCATATTGGTTCAATTATACAACAATTGTAAACGTTCCAGAAAATTGATCAAATTGAAAATAGTTCTATCTTTAACTGTCTACTCGGACCTTGCATGCTAAATGACTTTCATTACACGCATTTAGCTTTCCGAAGTCTATGAGAACAATTATTTGGCATTGACGGCCATGAATTTCACGCCAATAAGCTGCCTTGACTTGTTCGATTATGTTATCAACTCAATTTCATATTTATTTTCACTTTGCGGTCCTTCTCTGTTCTTTTTCTGTTATTTACACACATAGGTGATTTCATTGTTATCCACATTTGATATCATCACTTATCACATACTGCCATGATGCTCGTGTCTGTCTGCTATAACTGTCAAGAATTAATGCGATTGGAAAAGCGTAGTGACAGCGGGCCAATAAAGAGCAGGGTGCGCGATCATTGCCATAATGCAATTTGCGCGCCAATTTTTGTACATGCATTAATCAAGCTGAATAGTATTACTGATGCAACGAATAGTATTTGCCCTGAGGCCAAATATACTATTTGTTGTATCACTAATATTTTCTCATATTTGATACATCGTTTATTTGTCAAATTTCTAGAAAATTCAGCAAATAATTCTCAAGAAATATGTTCAAAATTTATTTCTTAAGAAATGTTTTTTGTTTTATATTATTTTAATAGTATATACATGTTTATCTTTTTATGCATTTTAGTGATTACTTATAATTATTAAAGTATATAAATGATTTCAGGGTAGAGCTGCTACCGGACTTCAAAATTTATGGAACACGTGTTTTATGAATGCTGTTATACAATGTCTATCATGCACTGTCTCTTTATCCTTATCGTTAAATTAAACTTCATCGATGGAACTTGATATAAATAGGTGTGTAAAAAATTAACCTTAAAATAATTTTTATATATCCAGGATAATTTAAAGTAATAATGCAAGCCAAAAGATGACGATTGAACTACAAAATATATACAACTTTTTATTTTTTACTCTCTATTATTGATATATAATACTGAAAGTTCTTTAAAATCTTTATTATTCTACAGAATGTTTTGATTAATTTCATATAATGTATCATTGAAATTGAATTTTAAAGTTGCAAAAATTTGCAAAACCAGAAAGAATTGACATTATTATTTTTAATCTAAAAATATGGTATATAGCATTTATATTAGGTAACCAAAAAAGTTCTGTCGTTTTTTGTGAAACTACAAAGTTTAAAGAATGTTAAATGCAATACACAATAGATGGCTCTAAAATTCCAGCAATATGTTAATCAAGATTTAATGCTGACTCATCTTATATAAAGAGAAGCGGAAAGGTTATCTCTTATTATTATAAAAATTGACCTGAAGATGAGTACTCCAAACTCTATAATTCGTGCTTGTATGTTGTATAAGTTTAAACTTGGAAAAAATGCCATGCAAATGGCTCAAAAAATATGCCAGGTTTTTGGACAAGGTTCTATCAGCACTCGCACCACCCAAAGGTGGTTTAGAAAATTTTCTTCCGGTGATGAGTCGCTTAAAGATGCGCCATGAGAAGGGCAGCCATATGTCATTAATAATGATGAATTACAGGCTGCAATTGAAGAAGATTCCGCTCAAACTTGTCAGATATTAGCACAAAAGTTCTCTGTAAGTGATGAAACTGTCCGTTTGCATTTGCATAGTCTTGGAAAAGTTTACAAGCTCAGCAAATGGATACCTCATCAATTGACACCTGCCAATATTGTGCATATGGTGGACTGCAAATGGAATTGTTCACTATAAACTTATACCATCTGGCCAGACTATTACTGCTAACGTCTACACTGACCAACTCCGTCGAGTTCACCAATCATTTTTGAAAAAACAGCCAGCTTTAGTAAACTGTAAAGGCGTTCTTTTCCAACATGATAATGCTAAAGACATCATGTTGCGCGTGTGACCTCTGACACAATTCAGAACCTTGGATGGGAACCTCTTTTGCACCCTCCTTATTTCCCTGACATTAGACCTTCTGACTATCACCTATTTTTAAGCCTAGATAATCATCTGCGAAATCGACAGTTCAGAAATAGAGAGGTTATAGAAACGGAGTTAGAGAAGTTTTTTAACTCTAAAGATCATGACTTTTATAAAAATGGAATTTATAAGGTTGTTTCCCATTGGGTAAAGGTTATTGAATATGAGGGTGGTTATTTTGATGAATAAATTGTGTTATTTCCTATACATTTTTATATTTGTTTTCTTTCGACAAAAAACGACAGAACTTTTTTGGTTACCTGATACTATAAAAATATATTGAATGAATGAATGAAATTATTTATTGGCATAGAAGACTTTTGCCTGTTACAAGGTCATTTTAAATACAGTAGAACCTCGATTATCTGCCCCCCAATCAACCGATCCCTTGGTTAACCGACCGTCCTAGTCGGCAAATTTCAAATGTCCGCTAGTGATGTGGCGCTACAATATTTGGCTATGTCTTGGCTACTTTAATATTATTTTTACGTGTTTTAGCTGGCAACACTCATTCGTCCATGAAAGGGAGCCAGTATTTAAACGAAGCTTAATTTTCTAATTTTTAACGATACAATAGCGACGATTATTATTTTAAAAAATTTTTGTTAGGCTTAACATCGATGAAAATTCAACGCAAAATAGGTTAATAGCGATATACTAATATACTAATTACATGGGATATAATAATATACTACACTAATAATGGATTTTTTCATACTTTTCGGTTATCCGACTTTTCAATTATCCAACCAACCCCAGTCCCCAATTAGGGCGGATAATCGAGGTTCTACTGTACACATATTAACATCTCATATAATAATATTTTAATAACTTTGATTTTTTTCTATTTATTAATCTATAGAATTATATGAATAATTTATCACAATTATCATTTAATTAATTGTTTAACATAGTTATATAACATATAAATTGTGTTCTCTATTAAATGTCTTATACATTTCCAACTCAATAGTACATTCAGCCAGTGGCCCAATCTGGAGCCTTTGAAGTTTATTCTTTTCATTACAATGTTCACATATAATATGGATTTTAGATAAATTTTTGGTACAGTTTGGACATTTTGATTGGGTGTAGTCTATATATTTATCGTTTATATTTATTCCATTTTTATTTAACCTAATCTGTATTAAAAAACTTTTTTAATGTTAAAAGCTATATTTGTCAGTATATAGTTGTTATTTGTTGGATAATTTAGAATTATTGCATACCAGCTTGTGTTTTCTCGTTTTCGTATATCTTCAATGTCTTGAATAATAGAGTATTCCATAACTCTATATATTATTTCTTTATTATACTGCTCCATATTACATGTACTGTCCATGAACAGTTTAATTGAAAATCCATATTTATTTATTATCTTTGATAGCTGAATTATCCAACTTCATCTTAAGTCTATTTCCCTCGATTTGTGATATAGTACAAACAGCAGTTTTGTTGTTATATCTTCTGCCTTAATAATTTTGAGTAAGAACCTTAAATATCTTTTTATTAGTATAGTATTTAATCTTAATCTAGGCTATTTGTTTCTAATCTTAAAGCACTACCCAGGATATTATATTCTAGCTGGAATGTCTTACGTATAAATATATTCTGTATTTTTTCAAAGTCATTAAATTTTTCCATGCTCCAAACTAGGGCCGCATAGCCCATTGAATTCATCCCTATCGAATTAAAAAGTTGAAAATGTGTACATAAATTCTTCTATAAAAATATATTGCACAGAATATCTATTACATGTCAAGGATACAAATCATAAACAAAATTTCATCAGTAAAATTGCGTTAAAACTTCTTGGCTAATCCAACATTATCAAAAAATTCAAATAAATTTATCAATGAAATTTATAAATTATATTGATTATAAATAAATGTTTAATTAGTAATAAATTTTAAATAATATAAATAATTTATCAGTTATAAATTTAATTTGTAAATTTAGGCCATTTAATATGGAACTATACTGTTTTCAATAAATACTAATATGCTGACATTCTGATAATCTGTTTGGTATTTTAATAACAAACAAATATAAATTTTTATTGCTGTTTTCAATTAGCTCTTGCCTAAAAGTATCACATCTGGCAGCAGATGTGATATTTTTAGGCTAAAGGTTTGTATTTGGAAATAATATTTTATGATTATCTATTCGAAAATCAAATATTATATGGCAATTGAACTATGTATTCTTTTTTTATTTGCTCATTGTAGTTGACATGTGCCAGCATTGCAATTTAAAATCAATAACAAATTTGACTTTGTTGTTTTTATAATTACTGACCCATATTTTTCTGAATAAAATTATTCTAAAATTGTTTTACAAAGGAGAATAAAAAACAGTTTGACTAATGTAATGCACTAAAGTTATGTCAAAATGTAGCTACATCATTCTAATAATTGACTCTCATGGTCACTCATCTGATCATACCTCTTGTAAAATGGTCTTGGGTTATGAAATAATATAAAATTAGAAAATTACAAGACTTGCTTTATTAGTTGACTTCAGGATTTTTTATTTGATTAATGGAAAGGAAACAAAGAGGATGCTAGTCAGAAATTGTGATTTTTCTGAATAATGCAAGTTTTTATTTTTTAAATTTAAAACAATTGTTAAATCAAACAATAAATTAACGATTTACAAAATTGTTAAATATTAAAACTAACCCATTTCCAAAACTGCTTACTTCTTATGTTTGTAGTTTATTATTTCGGAGGCCTGAAATTCACAATGTCTCATAAAATCACCGAAAATGTTTGTTTTTACAGTTCTCTCTTCTCCACATAAACTCGATCAGATAGGAGTTGAGAAGATGACATGAAGTACCTTGTTCCTCCATTTACAATTTCCCATAACCTCTCTGTTTTGTATGTGGCATCCATTATCTGCATCGATGAAGTTAAATTTGTGATTCACTTGATAATGAAAATATCCTGCTTCTTGTAAATCTTTATTACTGTACCCATTCCAACAGTCTGAAAAAATGGTAGTTCCTTCATGTATGTGATTTTCCACTTCCTTCAATAATGTTTCTGCCGAATGATTTGGCACTGGAACAAGGAAACATTCCTTTGTCTCTCGACAGTTCACCAGACACCCATTGTTGAGGTAAAAGACGACTGACATTGTACTTCCTTCGTGTGTATATCGTTTTGTCGATTTCAACAATCTTGTCAACACTGCCTATCTTCTTGTCACAATGACTCATTACAGAATGGGGGCAGATCTCCCTCATGTAACTGTTCCAATCAATGGCTGTAGAAAAATGAAGTCCTACTTGCATTTTACAAAATTCCAACGAAGAAAGTTTCAGCGTCCAAATATATATAAAATGCAAAGCGTCAAGGATATGCATGAACCAAAAAACCAGTTATCCGTCCGAATTCCCCTTTTCTGTCGACATGTCCTGACGTGGCATCTCCATTTCGGAGCTTCTGTTTCACAAAAATACAAACTCATTGGATGATTATTATTGCAAAAATGTTTGTAATGTAAAATTCCATTTTTCTGAAACACACTTATAGCTCCATGTTCGTTGTTCATTAAGTCCCAAAAGGTATATTCCATTTTTACAACTTTATAATGAACATGATAATGAAATGAAATATGCAAACGAGCAACTACGAGTTATGACATCAAATCAACTAATTTGCATCAACGATTACAGATAAAGCGTAAAGTAACGACAGTAGTATAGAAATGATACACTATGGGGGTACAAAATTAATTTGCATATAAATTTAATATAAAGTAACGATGCATTCTGGGGTATAAATGCCGACGCGATATAAGAATGACAAATTTTTCTCTACTACGCCAAAGCGGTCCTCTCTGAAGTAAGTTGCATTCTTTCATCTATCTGATAATTTAAAAAAAAAAAAAGTAATACAAATTTTATTCATTGAATTTATTTAATTTTTCCATTATATCATCAACGATGTTACTAATATCCTGAAGTATATAGACTAGCAAACTATGCAAATTTTCAGTGGTATATTTATGATCTAGTTTCTGATATTTAATAATATAACACCAGAAAAGATGGTATTTGAAATTGTGAATAAAATCTTCATTCAGTATTTGATAACGAGAAACCAAATCCCAGGAGAGATAATCTTGTAATTCCCGCAGAGTATCCGTTTTTAATTGCTGATATTTTAAAACTATTCTCATATTTAATTTATCAATATATTTCTTAATAAAATTATCGGAGAGAAGTTGAAATTTTGCTATTTTATCCCAATTAAGATAGTTCGAAAACTTATCCATGAATTCTTCATCTAATATTTAATGATCTGAAATTACACCCCATTTCGCATGTTTAATATGTTTTTCAATGAATGTAGTAGTAAATATATAATTTTTCTATATTAATTCCCCGTTTCAATTATCTGCAAATTCGGAAATGAAGTCTTGGCTTAAATCAGTTTTTGGCTTATAATCTCTCATTTAATATAGTTTTTAAAACGTCTGATGTTTTTTTCATCCATCAGTAAACTCTAGAATTTTTCCCAGTCAAGTGGTATAATGTGTGAATTCTATAAAAAAAAAAAAAAAAACTTAGTATTAGGATATAGTTTTATATATAAATAAACATGGTAATTGGTTACAACATTTTTAAAAAAGTACAATAATGACTATTACAGTTAGAACATCCACATTTTATAAAATTTTTATTACATAACACCATTGTTATCTGGTTAGTTAATACAAAACATTTACAATAGTATTTCTTATTCTTGGGTAATTTAAATAATCCAGCTTTATTTACAGCTTGTTTTAAACAAAGATATGTTTTACTCGAAACATCATGTATTAACTAGGTTAGGTCATGAGGATGTATCTGTTTTTGCGTGAGAGTCGTCGACCTCGGAGAGCTGATTCATTTTTATTACTGATATCTAAAGATTATTTTTGTTAATTCTATAGCATATTGTTCAAACTCATCCTACCGACATATACTAGTTAAAAAAGTGATTACAGTAGGAGATAAGAGTCAACGTGTCTCTCTATAATAGTATAATAACTAACACAATGACAACAAAACTCTCTAAGGAGTGAGAGAGGATAATATAATATTTTGATGTTAACTTATAATAGGTTGAATGTATATTTTTTCTTGAATATAGCATGGAAAATAATCATCTGATTGTGGTAGCCGACGAGAGGAGTGCGGTTGGTGGATACAGATCTATGATTAGAGGGGTGAGGAATTATGATAAAAATAAAGGAATCCCTCTAATCATGGCTGTTGTCCCTGAGAAGGTGTATATCCCATACAGGGTTAGAGACCGATTTCTCAGCCAGCAGCAGTGGGTAATGATGACATCGACACACCAGAGACCTGCTGCAGGAGCGATCGCACCCCGAGAGGAGGAAGAAGATTCCACCTACTATCACAATCTAGCGTAAGGACCTAGCTCTCCGCTAGAAGCTAGTGATAGTAGTGATGGGTCATCATCCAAGGATGAGGAGAGTTCTATCTCATCCGAGGATGAGAATTCTACTTCCTCCTCAAAAGAAGAACCTTCTCCAAAAAGATGACGGTGCTGGAGACAATCATAAAACAGGTGTGTATTAAATAAAACTTTTTTATATTTTTGAGTATTGAAAACAATTTTAATGAAACTAAAAGTACATAATTCTGTTGGATATAATTGGCATTATATCTAAGCTTAACTCATATATAAAAACAGCTCGATATTCACAGCGAATCAGATGATTATGGTTGTACAAAATCAGTTATATTTTCAAATTTCCGAATAAATAGTGCTAACTTGCGATTTTAAAAAAAAAAATATATTAAAAACATGATAGATTAACCTAATCTGCACTTGTAACATGTCCTATCAAGCCGAATGAGGAAAATCCAGTTTCCTATTTTCGTGGGTCAAGCTGAATGCAGAAGTTTTTTTATTAAGGAAAATCCTCTACCAGTATATTCCTCCTAGTTTAGTATAAATCAAAGGTGGGCAACCCCAGCCCGCAAGATCTTTAGAAGAAATTATAAATAAATATTTTTCGATGCAATTTGTCTACTTTAAATTGAATATTAATCTCTTAAGCATTGTTCCCAAAAATTTTCGTGCTGACCTCATTGACGTGTGTGGGCAACCCCGAATATTTTCATGTCTGCATCGGAACGTTTTGATACTAGATGTTGCTATGTGTCATAATTTTTATATTAAACTGCACTTTTAAAATATAATTTTTTTTGTTTTATATTTTTCAATATATTTATTTTGTTTGTGCAAAGTAAAGAAATAATTTTTAACGATACAATAGCGACGATTATTATTTTTAAAAAATTTTTGTCAGGCTTAACATCGATGAAAATTCAATGCAAAGTAGGTTAATAGCGATATACTAATATACTAATTCTAATTACATGGGATATAATAATATACTACACTAATAATGGATTTTTTCATACTTTTCGGNTATCTAGTATAGTAAAATCGTAGGACCGATAAAAATTTGACGTTATATTAGGGTTGTCGTTACATTCGATGACATTATAATCGGGTTAAACTGTATGTTGTTTGTGCAACATAAAAAATAATTTTTAACAACACAGTAAACACTATTATTTATTAAAAAATTTCATTGGGTTTAACATCAACGAAAATTCAACAACGCGTCGCAGGGAGTCAAATTACATCAGTTAGGTTAAACGCACATAGCAACATATATGTTCATAATTTAGTACTAATGTTAAAACTAACATCCATTAAAGCATCTTTTCCTTCAAATGTCTCCACTCATAACTATTTTTGTTGCGCAGTATATTTGTATTCTATCTATGTGTATGATCAAAGCCAAATATCTAATGTTGTAATTTGTGGTAACTGAGTGAGTTGTAGCTGGATTTTAAAAAGAACTATTTATTTGAAATTGGAATTAATTTATTTAAAGGTAATAACAAAAAACTTTAATAATTTTAATAACAATATTTATAAATATTTATTCAGTTTTTAGAGCAAAATGGCATCAAACAACAGCATGAAAAGAAAAGTTGATTCTGAAAACAAATCTTTTCAAGATAAATGGATGTTGCAATATTTTTTACGGAACATAATGGAAAACCTTTGTTTAATTTGCAATGAAACTATCGCTGTAAAAAAGAATTTAATATAAAAAGACACTACCAAATGAAAGATGCAAGTTATGACAGATATCAAGGTACTGAAAGAGTAAAGAAAGTTGAGAACTTAGAAAATTTTTTGAAATGTCAACAAAATATCATTGTGAGTGTTAACAAAGAAAATAAAAATAATACTAAAGCTAGTTATATTGTTGCTTTACAAATAGCAAAAAAATTAAAACCGTATTCAGATGGAGAATTTATTAAAGAATGTATATCTGAAGTTGCTGGATTACTCATACCAGAAAAGAAGACAATTATCGATTCAATTTCTTTATTGCAGCGAACTATAACGAGACGTATTGATGATTTATCGATGAATGTGGAGAATACATTGAAATTTTGAATATTGCAGCTTGAATATTATTCATTAGCTATAGATGAGAGCACAGATATTACTGATTTAGCTCAATTGTTAATATTTATTCGAGGAGTTGATTCAAATATGAATGTTTGTGAAGAACTCTTGTCGATTAAATACAATAAAAAGTACGACTACCAGAGCAGACATTTTCGAACAAGTAGAAATTTCAATGCAAAAGTTTAATCTTTTCTAAAAAAAAACTATCTGGGTTAATAACAGACGGTGCGGCAGCAATGACAGGAAAAAATAAGGGAGTCATTTCCTTATTTAAACAAAAAATGGGAGAAGAGAATTTTTCTAAATTATTTATATCTCATTGCATCATCCATCAAGAAAATCTATGTGCAAAAGCTATGCAATTAGAAAATGTAATGTCTGTCGTATCCAACTGCATAAACACAATTAAAAAATCAGCACTAAGTCATTGAGAATTGCTAATTGGTCTTGAAAGTGAATATACAGATGTTCAACATTATTGTCCAGTTCGTTGGCTCTCAAGAGCAACCGTATTAAAAAAATTTTATAATTTGAAACACGAAAATAAACTATTTATGGATATGAAAGGAATTCCCATTGAAGCATTAAATCAGTGTTTCTCAACCTCTAACGAATCGTAGCCCCCTTCAGTAAAACCTTTACGTAGTATAACCCCCTTCACTACGAAATTCCGATGCAGAAGCCAAGACTAACGCCAAATTCATACTACGAAATTCCGATGCAGAAGCCAAGACTAACGTCAAATTCATACTACGAAATTCCAATGCAGAAGCCAAGACTAACGCCAAATTCATACTGCATTGAATAGAATAGTGATTAGTATGTTACAGTAGAGCGTTGTTTATCCGAATCAACTGGGGACTGGGGTGGTTTGGAAAACTTATTTTTAGAATAACGAATCACGCACAAAAAAATAGTTTAACGTATTCCATGTTGAAAATTTTCTCCGTTGTGTGTCGCTTTGCGTTGAATTTTCGTCGATGTTAAGCCTAACAAAGACTTGTATCGTTAAAAATTATTTTTTTATTTTGTACAAATAAAATAAATATATTGAAAAATATAAAAACAATAAAAAAAAATTATACTTCAGACGTTAATTTAGTATCAGAAACGTAAAATATTTGAGTAGCTGGAGAAATAGCCAAAAATTGCAGCGCCACAGCACTAGCGAAAATTTAAATTTGCCAACTGGAATGCTTTCGGATAACAGATGTTTCGGATAACCAGCTTTCGGATAAACGACGCTCTACTGTATTTGTTTAATTATTGTACGATATAATGAATTAAATATCTAATTATTCTTAATATATTGTTTTACTATATCGCCCAGAAAATTGTTTTCCCCCCCAAAATATAAATTGTTACTAATCGCCCCCTCAACATGAAAAAACGCCCACATGGGGGCGATATCGCACCCATTGAGAAACACTGCATTAAATGATGAGAAATGGTTGTCAGACCTGGCATTCTTTGTCAACATTACAGGACACCCGAATGTTTTAAATGAAGCCCTACGAAAGCAAAATCAAAATGTGACACAATTATATGGACATATTAAAGCTTTCAAAAGTAAACTCAATTTGTGGCAATCCCATATAGAGAAAAATAATCTTTTTCATTTTCCAACTTTATTTAAGTATTGTGGGAAATATGATCCTCAATTTTTTGTTAAAAAAAATCAAAGATCTTTATTCAGAATTTGTTGAAATCTTGAAAACATCGATCAAGAAAAATATTTATTTTCGATTATTTAACTCGCCCTTTTCCATTACTGAAATTGAAACTGTTCCAGAAAAATTTGAAATGGAGTTATTGGATCTGAAAGAGATGGTAGGTTTAAGAGAAAATTTTAATTTTACACCTGTCCATGAGTTTTATAAAAATCTGTCAGCTGAAGAATTTCCAAATTTAGTTGATAATGCGAAGTATATCTACTCTTTATTTGGCTCAACATATCGATGTGAACAACTGTTCTCCAAGATGAACTACTTGAAATCGAAGTACAGAAACAAAATAACTGATACGCATTTGGAAAACAACTTGCATTTAAACACCACACAAATTGAACCAGATATTGAAATGCTAACAAAATCTTTGCAGTGCCAGATGTCACATTAAATAAATACTTTTTTCACTTACACATGTATATTTATTTTTTATCATTAATAGTTATTTTTCCAATTCTTTGTAATTTTTCAAAAACAAGAGAAATAAATGTAGTAATTAACTTCTTTTTTTTATTTATTTCATATTTGAAGTCTAAAAAATTACAAGTCACAAGAAGTCGTCAATTAAGTACTACAGCCTGCAGAAAAAACGTAAAATTTATTCTGGCCCATGTTATAAAAAAGGTTGCCCTTGGTATAAATAACACCTGAGTTTCAGGGATATAGTTTCGAATAGCAACTTTTAATAGAAGAAAATGACAACAGTTGATTGCTGGAAATTAGCGAAAATGAATAGTAAGTTTTTTTTTATGTGTGTTTAGTATTAGTATTATATATATATATATATATATAACAAAGCCTCGAGATACCATCCTCCATTATAC